CCCTCTCATGATAAATTAAAACACCCAGCGCCTCTCCCACTATTGGATTCCACCCTGAAATGATCAGCAGAAGAGATCTCCCCCACCCCAGCCAGCACAGCCATTTTCATTTTTATGATTTCGGTTGACCTGTGTAGACCTAGACCACCATGTGGAATGAGCACTTGTCATCTTTGAGTCTTCCACTCACATTGTTCACAGAATTAATGTTAACCTTCTTCTCAAACAGCTTCTCCATAAGATCCAAATTATTACTTTTAGCAGCATTCTGGAAGCTTCTCTCATTTGGCAGTACTGAAAGAAAGCAAGCAGGCATGACCACAGGAACTGAAGGAGACCAAGGAGAAAGCCCATTTCATGTGACAAACTTTGTAAGTCTAACAACTTGAAATAATAACCTTTCCTGGTAAGGATGTGGGACCTTGGCATCAAAATTTTATAATGCCTAATATCAAGATTCCACTTTCTCCCCACACTGCAGTGTTTTAATACCCTTAAAAATAATCCTAACCTCAAACAAAACATTATTCATAGGACCACCCTGAAGTCAATAGTGTGGTATTTGGCTTAAGAGGTCAGAGCCACCTCAAACTTCCCAGAGGATGTTGTTTGTAAAAAGTTTGTACATGATTACACAGGGAGGAGGCCAAACACTCTATACAGCTTCCAAAGATAAAACTGTTATCTCCAGAACTCGCCACAGATGCCAAGCCTACAGGAACCAAACCTTAAAATCCAGCCCATCATTTAAACACACGCTAAGGCTAAAAAGGATGAACATGATTTATTCTCATTGATATGAAAGGACATACGAGGAGATTCGCAACCATAGTAAACATTTCATGTCACACACATGCACACATTCTAATGGCAGTCTTCATGAACTAGCTTAGAGAAGACGCCAGGATATATTAGTTTTTTGTCATGTAGGGGAGCCAGGGGGATCTCAGGGAACAAGTTCAACACTGGAGGATAAAATCAGAATTGAAGTTAGTGGAATCAATAGCAGACTATCTCCAAAAAGAAAGGACCACAAGAGATTTTGTAGGTGTGCTGCTGAATAGTTTCCCAAGTTTTTGCCAAAGACACTTTGGAATACTGCCAAGTCTAATCAAGAACCAGGGACTGTCTTCATGGGAATACTGCTATGGGCTGAACTGTGTCTCTCTAAATTTCCTCACTCCCAGCACCTCAGAATATTGAGGTGACTATAGGTGGAGACAGGGTCTCTAAAGAGGCAATTTAGGTAAAATGAGGTCATTAGTGTGGACCCTAGCCTGATATGACTGGGTGTTCCTATAGGAAGAGAGTAGGATGCAGACACCCCAGAGGGAAGATCTTGTGAAGAAAGGAGAAGATCGCCATCGGCAAGCCAAGGACAGGAGCCTGAGAAGAAAGCAACCCTGCCAACTCCTCAGTCTTTGACTTTGCACGTCCAGAACTGAGACAATACCTTTCTGTTGTTTAATGCAGTACTGCATTATGGAAGCCCCAGCAAACTGTTACAGATGTACATGCTCATTCTCCCTATCACCCGGATCGCTTCTCTCCTTTCTACCCTACACCTGTCAATTCCAGGTGACTTCAGTATCGTCACAGACGATTAATCCAACATTCTGGCTTCTGAGTTCCCTGATTTCCTCACCGTTTATCATTCCCCCCCTATCTAATCTCAGCCATTCAATTTTAGGGGCACATTCTTGACCTAATCATTACCCAAACTGCACTATCTCTGAAATACTCAGATCAACAATCCCATTCTCTGACCACTACTTCTCATCACTCAACTTACCTTATCTAGTTCTCCAATCCACTATTCTAACATTGACATCTTTTCATATTATTAATCTTTGTATGCTTACTTCTTACCATTTAGATTTCCTGATGTAATCCATTTGTGCTACTATAATAAAATACCTGAGACTGGGTAATTTATAAAGAATATAAATCTAGGGACCAGCAGTTAGCGTAATGGCTATGTCGCTGGACTCCCATGTAGTCGACCGCGGTTCGTGTCCTGGATCCGGTGGCTTAAAACTCACACTGGGTGCATGTGCGTGTGTGCCCAAGATCCCGAGAGGAGAATGGAGGAGAAGGGACTGCGGCATGGCCATCCCCCCTTGGGGGTGATTTCTCACTTTCTGTCTCTCTGTCTCTCTCTGTCTGGCGAGCGCACACGCCCTATAGCAAAAACCTCTCCCCCCCCAAAAAAAAAATATATATAAATCTATTTCTCACAATTCTGGAGCCCGTAAGTCCAAGATCAAGACACCAGATAGTGAGACCAGCAGTTAGCGTAATGGCTATGTCGCTCAACTCCCATGTAGCCGACCATGGTTCGAGTCCTGGACCTGGTTGCTTGAACTCACACCGGGCGCGTGTGCATGCATGCCCAAGATTCCCGAGAGGAGAATGGAGGAGAAGAAGGGATTGTGGCACAGCCATCCCCCCCAGGGGATGATTTCTCCCTTTCTATCTCTCTGTCTCTGTCTTTCTGGAGAGCATTCACCCTATAGCAAAAACCTCTCCAAAAAAAGGAGACATCAGATGGTTTAGTTACCTGGTGAGGGATTGAGGGATACTCTCTGCTTCCAAGAGGGCATCATGCTGCTGCATCCTTTCAAGGAGAGGAATGCTGTGTCCTCACAGGACAGAAGTTAGAAGGGCAAAAGGGGTAAACTCCTTCCATCAAGCCTTTTCATATGGGCACTTAATCCCTCTCATAGGGCTGGGATCTTCATGACTCAATTACTTCCTAAAGTCACATCTCTTTTTAAAAAAAATTGTTAGAGAGCAGGTGCACTTGCCAGAGACAGAGACACAGAGACAGAGAAAAGGAGAAATCACCTTCAATGGGACATAGTTGTGCAATAATCCCTTTTCCTCCATTTCTCTGTCCTGTCAGGACTTTGGGCACACATGCACACATACTTGGTGTGTTTTCCAAGCTGCCATGGCTGGAATTCAAACTGCAGTCAGACATGTGAGATCCAACTCCCTTAACCACTAGGTTACAAGACCAGCCCAAGGGCATACCTCTTAATACTATCAATTGACCATTAAGTTCCAACACAATGAACCTGCAGAGACACATTTAGACCAAAACACATGGTCCCTCTCTGAAATACTTCTACACAAACACACTTAGCTTTCTCCCCACTCTTTTCCATGACCAGATTAGTTGGTCAGAATCCTAATTCTGTATTAAACTGAACTCTTTGCTTCATTTCTACAAATAAACAAATAAATGGTAGTGGAGAAAAACACATAAGCAGGACCAGCAGTTGGCATAATGGGTATGTCGCTGGACTCCCATGTAGCCAACCATAGTTCAAATCCTGGACTTGGTTAAACTTAGGCTGGGCACATGTGCGTGTGTGTCCAAGATCCTGAGAGGAGAATGGAGGAGGAGGGATTGTGGCATGGCCATCCCCCATGGGGGGTGATTTCTCGCTTTCTGTCTGTCTCTCTGGCAAGTGCATGTGCCCTATAGTAAAAACCTCTAAAAAAAAAAAATAGAAAAATAAAGGAGAAAAAAGGAAAACACATAAGCAGGCTATGGTAGACATTGCTAGTGTTCATTACTATCTGGCTCTTCTCTTCTATATGGACACATGGATAAATACACTTCCCAGCCTGGATGTAGTTAGGTGAGGTATGTCCAACGGGCTGAAAGCATAACTGATGGTATGTCACTCTGGGATGGAGGCAGTGAAAAGCAAGCCCCTGTATCATCCTCTAGGTAGCCTTCCCTTTTCTTGTCAACCCTGAAGTCACATGTTTAAAAGGAGTGTTCATAAGATGGTGGCACCTCTATCAGTTTGGTATTGGCTTACAGTTCTCCCTGTGTCTCTCATGTTTCTGTACATCTTATAAGCAGAAGCATGGACTAGCTTCATTCTCAACTCTTTTTTTTTTTTTTTTGGAGAGGTTTTTGATATAGGGTGTGTGTGCTCACCAGAAAGACAGAGAAAGACGGAGAGACAGAAAATGAGAAATCACTCCCTGGGGGAGTGGTAGCAGGATGGCCATGCCACAATTCCTTCTCCTCCATTCTCCTCTTGGGATCTTGGGCATGCATGCACATGTGCCCTGCATGAGTTTAAGCTGCAAGATCCGGGACTTGAACTGTGGTCAACTACATGGGAGTCCATCGACATAGCCATTACACTAACTGCTGGTCACACAGGATTTTTTAACACAACCCACTGAATGTGCAGGTGTTACTGGGTGCTCTTCACATCTCTCTAGGAACTAGGGCTTCAAGACACAAATTCTGACACACTGTTTATTGCTACTGCTGTGAGTAATAAAATCCCTTTTCCCTCATCTAGAAGTGTCTTCTTCCAGCACCTATATCATCATGGTAAGCTAATTTGGTAGCCTGCAAGTAGGCTAAGCCTCAGCCCATTGTGATTCTCAACATCTGGGTTCATGCAAGACTAGGAACAGAGACCCTCACCAAGGGACATGCTATGGGAGCAAGAAATAGATCTTTTTTTATTTGCAGTGCATACTCACACTTAGGGATTATTTATTTGTCACTGGAAACAAAATAAAACAAACAAACAAAACCTAGTTTGTCCTGACACTAGGCTAACTGGCCTCCTAAATCCTTAACCACTAATCTTATGTAGGAACTCAGCACTGGCAGCTATCCTACCACATTACCCAAGCTTTCTATTCTCTAAAACTTCATGTCTTTTTCATTCTCCCAAAATATCTTGATTTATAAATTTGGCTAGTTTAATTCCCCTCACTAGCATCAACTAATTTTAAGCTGATAGCTAGCATTGCTTTGCAGTGAAAACAGAATAGGACAAGAATTCCCACATCTTCTCACCACTAATTCTTCCAGGCTACTAATATTTACATACACAAGCTCTCTGCTATTGTTGCTACGGAAGAAGCATTCCTATTCCTACCCAAGGCCAACCCCTACCCTTGGGTTCTGAATCCTATTCCCATTCATCTTTTCAGTGATTTCATATACCAATCTCCTGTAAACTAAGCCCGCTAACTCTGGATCACTTCCTCTCTCTCCAGTAGGTTATTCTCCAGCAATACAGAATTAAAAAAAAAAAAAAAATTCTCCATTGACCTTACATTCCTTTCCAACTGCCACTCCATTTTTCCATATCCTATTACCTCAAACATCTTATAAATGTTCTGTAATTGCTGTCTCCACATTATCTCAAAATCTTGTGCGAATCCATGCTAACCAGACATCTTTCCCATTATTCTACTACAACTGCTGTTGTAGAAGTCATCCATCTTGCCAAAATCCCGTCATCATCCCTCTGTCATGGGAACTGAACTCTTGGCAGACTTTGCAGCGAGGACCACGCCCTTCTTGTAACACGTCATTTTCTAGTCTTCTGATAAACTACTTGCTGCTTTCTAGTTTCTTTCACTGGCTCCTCTTCTTCTGCTTGATCTTCAAGTGATGAGTATGCTAGGGTTTTGAGAAAATAAGTAACCTGACAATGCAGGCATAGATGTTTGCAGTGGAAACAGTGCCAGACCAATGGAAATCATACAATCAACTCTAGAAAAATCCATGCCTCATCTATACAGATGAGGAAATTGAAACTTTTAAAAGGTCAACCTAGGCCCACTCCACAGTACTGTCCTGGTTTGATGATCCAGAATCATCCAAAACAGTGCTTTTCCTTCTGACCTACCATCAGAAGGCCAATAGTAGCCTGACACTATGTGACGATACCTGTCATTCACCTCACTTCATCTCATCACCCAGGCGCTGTATCATCTCTCGTCATCACAGGAGGGGTAGGAAAGATATTTTGAGAGCCCACATCGCATAACTGTATTACAGTATATTTTCATAATTGTTCTATTTTATTATGTTGTTGTTAATCTCTTACTGTGCCTAATTTGTAAGTGAAAATGTATCAGACATACATAGGAAATATGTATGTATAGGAAGAAGCATAGTACCCATGGTTCAGTACTGTCCCTGGCTTCAGAAATCCATGGCCAGAGGGGGGCTATCCTGGAAGGTATCCCCATGCATACGGGAGGACTACTGGATATCAACTTCATTGCTGTCTCCCATTTGCTATTGTTGATTGTCATGCTTTCCTCCCTGAACTGTCCATGGGTGACTCTTTACTCTCATTTAGGTATTTGTTCAAAAGTCCTGATTACTTTGGTCACCAAATCTTAAGTCCTCCTATGCCCCTGTCCTGTTACATCAACCTGTTTTATGGCCTTCACAGCACGTTATTACCTTCAACTACAGTCTCCAACTCAATATTTGCTTACTTTATTTTCTATCAACCCTCTACCATAACAGAATATAAAGTCCACTGGAAGAAGGGTCGTCTTGTTCTCTGCATCCTCACACTCAGAGCATGGCTAGGAAATACTAAGCCCTTGGAAATACTTCAGGATGGATGAATGAATGAACTAATTGCACATTAAGAAACTGTACAGCTCCCAGGGAGGGTCTGCAGGAAATGGAGTCACCCTAGCCAGCCAACTTGGATAGCGTGGCTGTTAACAGACTTGAATCATTCTCAACTTTTTAGGACTCTTCAGCAGCCTGCCTCAGTTTACACTATAATTTATTCCCAAGGCATAGATGATCCACTGCGTGCTTTAAAAACTTAAATGCAAGGACCAGCAGATGACCTAATGGTTAGGTCGTGGGACTTCCACGTTGTTGACCGCGACTGGAGTCCCAGACTGTGTAGCTTCAAACTCAGGCCTGGTAGAGTGTGCGTGCTTGCCTAAAATCCTGAGAGAAGAATGGATGATTGCAGCATGGCCATCCCCCTTGGGGAGGGGGGAGGGGTAATTTCTCGCTTTCTATCTCTCTGTCTCTGTCTGTCCTGAGAGCTCAGGCGCCCTAGAGCAAAAAGTTTCTCTTAAAAAAACCAAAATCTTAAATGCAGAAAGATTAAGTGACTAAAGTCACTAGTAAATCAGTGCATGAGTCAGGAGTTGGGAGATAACATTACATGAAACCCTTTCCTTATTTGCAAAATGGTTTAATCATTTCTTTAAATGGCTCCTCCTTAAATGGGAAGAGTAAAATTTTCCCTCCATCCACACTAAGGGGTGGAGAATGCGAACCAAAACTTGGGTAGAGGTGGATTCCAAAGTTGAAAATCATCCAAAAGTTAAGGATGAACCCACGGTTCCCAGAGCCAGGGCCGAGCCCCGACCTAGGTTTTCTTCCGGAGGCGCAGCGTTAGGAGGCGCAGCACTGAGCGCGTTCTCGAGTTCCCTGGGCCAGGCCCGCCCCGCGCCCATTAGGCGTCGCCACCATCGCCTGATTCCTGAGACCGGCTCCCGGGACTCACGGAACTCGTGTCCGGCAGCTGCCGCCTCCTCCTCCTCTCCAGGCTCCTCCGGCTTCGGGGTCCGAGAAAGGCCCCTCCCCTGCAGGGGGGCTGTGCCCCTCAGGTTTTCTCTAAGCTCCCGCGCCGCCGCCGCAGCCCAGAGCCGCATCCCACTCGCCGCGGCCCTGCGGCCTGGGGCGCGCTTGGCGGGATCCATGCATTCTCAACTTTTTAGGACTCTTCAGCAGCCTGCCTCAGTTTACACTATAATTTATTCCCAAGGCATAGATGATCCACTGCGTGCTTTAAAAACTTAAATGCAAGGACCAGCAGATGACCTAATGGTTAGGTCGTGGGACTTCCACGTTGTTGACCGCGACTGGAGTCCCAGACTGTGTAGCTTCAAACTCAGGCCTGGTAGAGTGTGCGTGCTTGCCTAAAATCCTGAGAGAAGAATGGATGATTGCAGCATGGCCATCCCCCTTGGGGAGGGGGGAGGGGTAATTTCTCGCTTTCTATCTCTCTGTCTCTGTCTGTCCTGAGAGCTCAGGCGCCCTAGAGCAAAAAGTTTCTCTTAAAAAAACCAAAATCTTAAATGCAGAAAGATTAAGTGACTAAAGTCACTAGTAAATCAGTGCATGAGTCAGGAGTTGGGAGATAACATTACATGAAACCCTTTCCTTATTTGCAAAATGGTTTAATCATTTCTTTAAATGGCTCCTCCTTAAATGGGAAGAGTAAAATTTTCCCTCCATCCACACTAAGGGGTGGAGAATGCGAACCAAAACTTGGGTAGAGGTGGATTCCAAAGTTGAAAATCATCCAAAAGTTAAGGATGAACCCACGGTTCCCAGAGCCAGGGCCGAGCCCCGACCTAGGTTTTCTTCCGGAGGCGCAGCGTTAGGAGGCGCAGCACTGAGCGCGTTCTCGAGTTCCCTGGGCCAGGCCCGCCCCGCGCCCATTAGGCGTCGCCACCATCGCCTGATTCCTGAGACCGGCTCCCGGGACTCACGGAACTCGTGTCCGGCAGCTGCCGCCTCCTCCTCCTCTCCAGGCTCCTCCGGCTTCGGGGTCCGAGAAAGGCCCCTCCCCTGCAGGGGGGCTGTGCCCCTCAGGTTTTCTCTAAGCTCCCGCGCCGCCGCCGCAGCCCAGAGCCGCATCCCACTCGCCGCGGCCCTGCGGCCTGGGGCGCGCTTGGCGGGATCCATGTTCTCCCTCGACCGCAGAGCGCTGGCCTCACCAGACCCGGGACGCCTGGACCGGAGCGAGAGGGTCGGCCGGGCGAGACCGCAGGGTCGAGGCTGCGCTCTGCTCCGGGCGGCTCACCCCGGCAGCTTTGCCTGGCCCTCGGGCCCTGCCCGGGAAGAAGCCGCCGTCAGGTGTGGCGTGCGCAGAGGTATGGGGCGTTAAAATCCTGGAAAACCTACAAGCCCTTTATCAGCTCTAGTTCACACTCCACCCATTCTATGTAGTTAGTTCTTCCCACCCGCCAGAGGTTTTTGCTATAGTGCGCATGCGCTCGCCAGACAGCGACAGAGAGAGAGAAAGCGAGAAATCACCCCCCAGGGGGGATGGCCACGCCGCAATCCCTTCTCCTCCATTCTCCTCTTGGGATCTTGGGCACGCACGCACACACTCCCGGGCGTGAGTTTTAAACCACCCGGTCCGAGACGCGAACCGTGGTCGACTACGTGGGAGTCCAGTGACATAGCCATCAGGCTAACTGCTGGTCCCTATGTAGTTAGTTTTTGAGAAATGTCGAGATTGGGCGTATAACATTATTGGAACTTCAACAGCAAGTCATTTCTAAATGACTCTGCACAAATTCTTTTGAATAAAATAGGACTCTTAGTTTCTCATGTGATAACCTTGCTATTATTCTTTTTTTTTTTTTTTTTTTTTTTTTCGCTATAGGGTGTGTGTGCTCGCCAGACAGACAGAAACATAGAGACAGAAAGCTAGAAATCACCCCCTAGAGGGGATGATCACGGATCCCTTCTCCTCCATTCTCCTCTCAGGATCTTGGGCACACACGCACACGTGCCTGGCGTGAGTTTTAAGCCACCAGGTCTGGGACGCGAACCACGGTCGACTACGTGGGAGTCCAGCGACATAGCCATTATGCTAACTGCTGGTTCCCATGCTATTATTATCTTTACTGGCTGATTCTTTGAGAAAATGAAATAATATGGAAGAAAGCCAAATAAATCTGGCCCTCCAAAACACACTTAAAAGAGCGATGATTTTCATTTCTTTTGTATTTTTATGAATTATGAAATGTGTTTGTTTTTGTTTTTGGTATAGGGCCAGGGCACTCAGCAGGAGTGACAGAGACAGAGAAACAGAAAGCAAGGTGGGGGGATGGCCATGTCACAATCCCTTCTCCATTCTCCTCTAAGGATTTTGGGCACACAGGCACAATGTACCTGGCATGAGTTCTAAGCTGCTGGGTCCTGGATCTGAACCATGGTCTACTTCATGAGAGTCTAGCAACGTAACCATTACACCATCTGCTGGTCCCAGTGTGTTTCATTTCAGTATAAATGATAAATTTCAATGTTTATATCAGACCTGTCAGCTTTTCCTTTCAAATTATTGTGCTCTAAATTTGAAACATTAATTTCAAAACAGTGGACCAACCCATGACATGATAGTTAAGTGGCTGGATCCCACATGGCAGATAGGCAGTTCAAGTTCCAGACCAGACTAGTGTCTTGAAAAACATCCCTGTGACTGTACCTGTGTGCCTAAAATCCAGAAGAGAGGGAGAAATGGAGGAGAGACTGTGGCATCACCATGCCCCATGAGAGATGCTTTATCATTCTCTCTCTCCCAGCTAGCACATGTGTCCTCTGGCAATTAAAAAAAATTCAAGTGACCAGCAGATGGCATAATGGTTACATTACTGGACTCCCATGTAGTTGACTGCGGCTCAAGTCCTGGACCCGGTGGTTTAAAACTCATGCCAGGCTATGTGCTTCTGTGCTCAAAATCCCAAGAGAAGAATGGAGAAAGGATTGCATTGTAGCCATTCCCCGGTAGGTGATTTCTCGCTTCCTGTCCCTCTGTCTCTCCAGAGAGTACACAGGTCCTATAGCAAAAACATCTCTCTCAAAAAAAAAAAAAAAATGAAAAATTCAAAACAACACATTCAATTAAAAAAAAACTGACAAAATGTAAAATGTTCTTTACTGTATTCAGAACATCATCTATAACTTCAAACTTTCCTTTAAAAAAAGTGAAATGAGGGAACCAGGAGTTAGCGTAATGGCTATGTCGCTGGACTTCCACATAGTCGACTGTGGTTCATGTCCCGGACCCGGTAGCTTAAAACTCACGCCGAGCGCGTGTGCGTGCATGCCCAAGATCCTGAGAGGAGAATGGAGGAGAAGGGATCCGTGACCATCCCCTCGGGGGGGTGATTTCTCACTTTCTGTCTCTATGCCTCTCTCTGTCTGTCTGGCAAGCACACGCACCCTATAGCAAAAACCTCTCCACAAAAAAAAAAAAAAAAAGTGAAGTGAAGTAAAAAAAAAAAAAAGTGAAATGAGACTAATGTTTTGTTACAGGGATGTGATCAAAACAACAGCAAGTAAACTGAACTGAATATTATAAAGAAATACCAGACTGTAATAACATCAAAAGTATCTATAATATGTAAATGGAAACAGGACTCAAAATTACATGTGTATATATAGTATATTCACAAGTAAAATTTTAAAAATCAGGGACCAGCAGTTAGTGTAATGGCTATGTCGCTGGACTCCCACATAGTCAACTTCGGTTCGAGTCCTGGACCCGTTGGATTAAACTCACGCTGGTGCCATGTGCGTGCGTGCCCAAGATCCCGAGAGGAGAATGGAGAAGGGATTGCGGCGTGGCCATCCCCCCTGGGGAGTGACTTCTCACTTTCTATCTCTCTGTTTCTCTCTGTCTGGCAAGGGCACGCACCCTATAGCAAAAACCTCTCCAAAAAGAAAAAAAAAGAAAAAAATTTAAAAATCAAAAGAAAACACACATGCAGAATAATGACAGTGGAAACAGTGCCAGACCCATGGAAATCATACAATTAACTATAGAAAGATCTGAATTATGTTACCCAAGTAATTTATGGCATGAAAATTGATTCCGAATTCTAAACCAAGAAACTTAATTTTGTTAAAATCCTATCAGTGCCAGGAGAAAATGTATCATTATTTTATGCTACGTAGCCTTACGGTAGTGTGTGGTATTTTACCCAACTCTAGCAGAAAAGACAAAAATCCCAAAGCATTATGTCGATCTGTGCGTGCGTGCCCAAGATCCCGAGAGGAGAATGGAGAAGGGATTGCGGCGTGGCCATCCCCCCTGGGGAGTGACTTCTCACTTTCTATCTCTCTGTTTCTCTCTGTCTGGCAAGGGCACGCACCCTATAGCAAAAACCTCTCCAAAAAGAAAAAAAAAGAAAAAAATTTAAAAATCAAAAGAAAACACACATGCAGAATAATGACAGTGGAAACAGTGCCAGACCCATGGAAATCATACAATTAACTATAGAAAGATCTGAATTATGTTACCCAAGTAATTTATGGCATGAAAATTGATTCCGAATTCTAAACCAAGAAACTTAATTTTGTTAAAATCCTATCAGTGCCAGGAGAAAATGTATCATTATTTTATGCTACGTAGCCTTACGGTAGTGTGTGGTATTTTACCCAACTCTAGCAGAAAAGACAAAAATCCCAAAGCATTATGTCGATCTTAGCCTTAGTTGGACCTGATTTCCTTAGTTTCCCTGAAGGGTTGGCCCAGATGAGAAGCTACAAAGTAATCTGTGGGTGATGTTTTCTTTTTCACTCTGCTTCAATAGTAGATTGCATCTCAACCAGACAGCTAATTGTCAGTATGGTGGTACATCAAAGACACTGCCCTATATGATCTGGCCCCGCTCATCTCTGTGACCTGGAACCTCATACCTCTCCCCATTCTTGCTGTTTCTCTAGTGTTTCCCACTACGGAACCATTCTGTTTCCATTTCCCTCTGAATTTTTTTAATGGTTTGATCCTCCATATATATCATTAAGGTTTCAAGTGAAATGTCACTTCCTTAGATCGCCCTGCTCTAAAACAGTCTCCCCTACTTTTACTCTCCAAATCCCTTGTTACTGCTTCCCTTGGTCATAGTTGTCACCATCCTTCCTGGATTGGGTTGTTGTAATTTCCCATCAACCTTAATCACAGGGCATGGCAATACTAAGAAATGCCCTAAGGGAGCTGCTGTATTCCAGATATATTCCTCCTTACTCTGTTAAGGAGCAATACTCCAATTTCTCCTGAGTAGTTTGGATCAGCCACCCCCGCCAGCACCATAACTCCCTTGTCTGTTGACCTGGAGGGATAAGGAGCCCCAAGTGGCTGGGTGGCAGACTTAATTTCCAGTTCAGTGGAGTGAATCATTGTTGTGTCTCCTGGTAGAAGCAGTATTCTCTCTGGAATTCAAACCTTTAGGCCATCAGAGCATGGAAGAGAAACAGGAAGCAAAATTTTTGCTAAGGAGTTACTAGGGGTAATGATGTGTGGTGCCACTCTCATTTCTACCCCTTCATTCCTGAACCTGTGAATCCCGGCCATTGGAGAAACAATACTATATATTAAACACTGATTTAGAGCCTGTAGAGCCTTTGGGAGAGAAAAAGAATGAATTTACCAGGATGAAAGAATAGAAAAGTAAATAAATAATCTCTATTGGCTAATAGGTCAAAAATTTTATTACTAAATATCAATTAAATGAATTGTCTATATGAAATAATTTACTCTAATGTTGAAAACTATAAACAAACTTGAGGCAAGATACCAATAGAAAACAACTCATTGTGGTGCTCTCTACTTTTCAATACATTAAATAATCAATATTTTATTTAACTTAATTTTGCATAGAATTTACATAAGTAAACACTAACAAAAACCATAACACTATTACTTTATATTTGCCATAGTATATAATATATGCTAATATGCCTAATTTTAATCTAACAATAAAAAATTAAGTTATCACTTTGGCCAAGGGCTGTTAAGAGATCCTACTTAAACCAGCTCTAAAATACTATTTCCTTATATATTTAGATAATGAATTAAAATGCAAAAAAGTAGGAAAATAGAAAACATAAATATAGGAGAACAAAAGACTCAGTTCCTTACAGCAGTAACAGAAAATGGCTTCCATCTTCACATTCCAATTAAATAATTAATTGCTTTTTGATAAGAACTTATTGATAGCACAAAAGTGTTGGAGCAACTACTTAAGCTAACTACTATTAAGCTTACTTCTTTTACAAATATTAATAAAAATGTGACAGAAATATAACTTAGTTAAGGGAAATGTTTTACACATTAATCTTTTGATTTGCACATTTTCTCTTGAAGATCATAATAAAAATAAAGTGACTATCTATCCTTTTAAATAGATTTGTAGAAGGTACAAATATAAAGGCCAAGAAATGAAATATTTCTATTTAAAAGTCCTCTTACATATTAAACAAAAAAAGTACTTTGAATCTTAAATTTAAAAAGTACTTTGAATCTTGGACTAAATATTTCTTAAAGTGAACCAAGTGCTTATTCAAAAGACAAAGGAGTTTTAAGCAGAGAAAACTAAATGAGTGATCATATGTTAAGCAAAAAATCCTTTTAACACTAGATCCTTTTAATATTGTGATATTTTCCTGGAGGTACCAAACCATTCATGCTAGCTCTGCTAAGCCAATATTCTTCATAGGACTGATGATAAGTTTTAATTATGAATGTGTGTGAGGCACCTAGGATCAAATATAGCAGCTCAATGTCAATAAAGTGACTAAGTGCTAAAAATTCTTATGCTAAAAAGATTTATGTGAACCTAGGAGCCTTTATACATATTCTTATATTCTCGATAGAAATAATAAAGAAATCACTTTCTAATCGCATTCCTAATTTTTCTTTCTAAAATTATCTCTAGGGGCTGGCTCCACAGCAAAGTGATCAAAAGTAATGGATAGAGAGCTAGATCTCAGACACTGACTAGTTCAAATCCCAGCTCCACTGCCTTGAAAAACAAACTGGGTGCATATGCATGCAAGCCTCAAATAACGACATGATGGAGAGGTGGAGGAAAAAGGGATTGTGGAATGGCAATGCCTCATTGGGAGGGCTTTCCTCTCTTTCTCTCTGGAAAGCTAACACACCCTGGCAAGAAAAAAATCTCTAACAGGATTGATTTCTCATTGATACATAATAGAAGTCAAATTCTCATGGTTCTTAAAGAAAGTATACATAAGTAAATTAGTATATATTCCAAGTCCTTATAAGAGGAAATGTAATTTGGGGAAGGACTGCCTTCACTAAATGAATCTGTTAAAGAAGAATAAATTCATTGATCATAAAATAACAAGTTTCAATTAAAAAGTAATGATAGAATGTTCAACGTTCATTTAAAAAATACATCAAGGGTGTGTCTGGGATTGTTTGGTTTTGTTTTCTTTGATGCTGAGTACTTTGTCATTAGTCCTGATCTGGAATGAAAGAGAAAACACAATTAAAATGCAGAAAGAAATTTTAAAAAATCATTTTGCAAATATTTTTTAAACTGTTATTTGATGATTTGTAAAAGCAAATTTTAGGGCTAGCAAATAATATGGTGGTTAAGGTGGCTGACTCCCACATGGATGATGGCATTCAAGTCCTGGGTCCAGCAGCTGGAAAAACACATGGGCACATGTATGTGCATGCCCCAAATTCCAAAAGGAAAAGTGGAAATGAAGGGATTATGGCATGGCTATCCACCATGTGGGTGCTCTCTCTCTTTCTCTATGTCTCTCTCTCTCCCCTCAATGAGCATATATGTCCTCTAACAAGTCTTTTTTTAAGGTTTTTGCCACAGGGAATGCATACTCGCTGGAGAGACAGTTAAAGGCAGTGAGAAGAAAGTGAGAAATCACCCCAAAGGGGGATGGCCATGCCATAATCTCCTCTCTTCCATTCTACTCCTGGGATTTGGGGCATGTACACACATGTGCTTGGTGTGATTTTTGAAGCCACTGGGTCCAGGACTTGAACCATAGCTAGCCATGTGGGAATCCAGAGCTTTACCCATCACACCACCTGTTGCCCCCAACTCCAAGCAAATTTTAAATAAGCAAAATTTAACATCTTTTAGAGACTACACCTCAAAGCATGACAGTTCTTAGCTAGCTCTATTAAAAGTTCAAATTAGCCATACCTCTTTGGTCTTGTTACATTCTTCTGTACTCTGTTTGAGCTACCTTTAGAAGGAAGAAAAATCAAACAATTCCATAATAAATAACATGAAATAACTGAAAATCTGAATAAAATTTAAAAAGTTAAAACTGACCAACTGAAGATAAAAACTTCCTTGGTACTATATAGTTAATAATGGGTTGTCAGAAAAATTAGAACTCTTTTCCTATATTTTTGTATGCAAAAAGACATCATGACTTTATACATACTGGAAACTAACCTTATAGCATAATTTCTTACACTTTATATTTGAAATATGGCTGGAGTCAGCACTACTAAAAATGTTAGAGGTTTTCCAACTGGAATTACAGTTAATTTGCCACTGTGCCTTATCACATGTTCTCTGAAAGAATTTCTTTTTTGATTAGGTCATTCAACTCCTTAACCTTTGAGTTCTTTCTATGCCAAATCAAGATCAAAACCAAAATTTTACCCTAAATCACAATCTACTAACTTGAATTGATTGTAACCTATGGTAAGCATACTAACATTTTCCTAAATAGCAGAAAACAGAAACTACCTCTAGCATGTATTTCAGATTTAACAATAATCTCATGAATGTTATAAAATATATTTCTAGAAAATCAAGTTCTTTAAAAAGACTATAAACTGGGAACAGTAGATGGTGTAATGGTTTTGTCGCAGAACTCCCACATAGTCGATTACAGTTCAAGTCCTAGGCCTGGTGGCCTAAAACTCATGCAGTGTGTGCGTGTGCATGCCTAAAATCCTGAGAGGAGAATGGAGAAGGGATTGCAGCATGGCCATCCCCCTAGGGGGTGATTTCTTGCTTTCTTTCTCTCTGTCTCTGGTGAGTGCACATGCCCTACAGCAAAAATCTTTCTTTAAAAAAAAAAAAAAAGACGAGGACTACAGACTCACCAGTACTTCCACTTTCTTTGGGTTGATTAACTGGATTAACTTTATCTTGTCTTAGTTCTTGGATAATACCTTTATTTAAGCAAACATCCACGTGCACATTGAACAGGGTAAGATCTGAAGTCTTTTGTTCTAAGTTACAAACAGGACAAACTAGAGCTTGGCCTGTTACCTCTTCGTGTAAATAAGGCTGGGGAGATTCTTGCCTAGTTAACTCGATGTCTTTATTTTCTGATGAAATAGTACAAGAATTCTGATGACAGTGTTCAGTATTAAAAGACTTGCTTAGAAGACTAGAACATTCCTCTTTGCTGTGCTTACTACTTAAAGCATCTATACTTTCTGCTTTGGGTAAGTTATCCACAGTCTCTACCAAATCTATACAATCTACTGAAGTGATTTCTGTATTTTTCTGATGGTTTTCATAACCTTGCTTCGCACAAAGTGAGAAAGAATATTGTACATTTTCTTTCTCATTAATTTTGGTAGATGAAACATGTGAACATGAGAGTATTTTGGAGTTTTCACTGATGGAAGGTCCATCAAGACACGCATCTACATGTTTATTAAAGGCTTCCAGACTGATGCTTCCTTGCTCCCTGAAGCAAACAGGACAGGTAAATATCTGACAACTATCTGAATTCTCCGATGCTTCTAAATTCTCACTCATTTTCTTTAAAACTTGGAATGGTTGTGATGTCTGTAAATTTTGTTTATTCACAGTTTCACATTTCAATGTATCTTGGTGGTTCCATTTCCTTTCTGATCGTTTTTTATCAAAGAAACTCTTCTTATGAGACATTTCAAGGGGTTTTACGAACTGATCTTTGTCAGTTTTCTCCATTATACACCCAGTGGCTGACGGCGCTTGGTTTCCAGGCTGTAAGAAGCCAATAATGCTCTTTTGTTGGTGCTTCTTATTTTCTTCATTTGGAAAACCAGATATTCGAACACCTAAATTAAACCAGCCGCAATTAATCAATTTCAATTCAACAAAGCAAATTCACTCATAGTGCATAAAAATATTTTACATAATACTGTTGTCACATATATATGACAAGTTGGTTTCAGAGAAATACTAAGAACATTAGATTTATTTCCTAAATTAAACAATGCTTTTTCGAAACTGGTATTAGAAGTGGAAATTTACTTCCCTTTATAAAATGAAATGTTGCTAAATTTTAAATAGCTACTGGAGTTGGCATTCCTTTTTTTTTTTTAAGAGGTTTTTTTTTTTTTTGCTATAGGGCACGTGCACTCGCCAGACAGACAGAGAGACACAGAGAGACAGAAAGCGAGAAATCATCCCCCAGGGGAGATGGCCATGCTGCAATCCCTTCTCCTCCATTTTCCTCTCAGGATCTTGGGCACACACACACAGGCGCCTGGCATGAGTTTAAGCCGCCAGGCACAGGACTCGAACCACAGTCGACTATGTGGGAGTCAGCAACATAGCCATTACGCTAACTGCTGGTCCCGGAGTTGGCATTCTTGTATGTCCCAGAGTTGGCATTTTTATATGTCCTGGAGTTGGCATTCTTATATAGGGCTGTTAATTAATATAGGACACATGCCTTATAGCAAAAAGAAAACTCTAAAAAAAAAAAAAAAAAAAAAAAAAAGAAAGACTAAGTAACTGGACTGGCCCCATAGCATAGCAGTGGTTAAGGAAGCCAAATCCCATATGAACAGCCATAGTTCAAATACTGGCTCTGGTGGCTTGAAAAACACACTGGGCATATGTACGTACATGCCCAGAATCCTGACAGGAAGCAAAAATGAAGGAAAAAGGATCGTGGTATGACCACACTCAGCTGAGGGTGGAGGGAGGGGAGTTGCTCGCTCTCTCTCCAGTGAGTGCATGCTGCTTCTGGCAATTAAAAAAAATACTAAATAACTACTCAGAGTCAATTATATAGACTATTTAGCTCTTTTTTAAGAAAAGCTTTTTTAAAGAGCTGTTTTAGGTTCACAGAAAAACTGAGCAGACAATAGTATTCCTGTATCTTCCTGATTCTACACATGCACAGCCTCCCCCACTAGCAACATCTGTGCCAATGTATGTTTGTTATGGCTGAGGAACCTACACTGACACACCTTTATCACCCCAAATCCACAGTTCACCTTATAATATACTTTTGGCATTATACACTATAGATTTGGACAAATTTATGGCATTTATCCACCATCACAGGATCACACAGAATAATTTCCCTGCCCGAAAAAGTCTCTGTGCTCTATCTAGTCGTCCCTCCCTCTCTACTAACCCTGACAATCACTAATCTTTTTGCTGTCTCCATGGTTTTGCCTTTTCCAGAATGCCCTATAGTCGGCATCATACAATATGTAGCCTTTCTGGATTGCCTTCTTTCAGTTAACAATATGCATGTAGGGTTCCTCCATGTGTTCTTCATGATTTAATTGCTCATTTCCATTATTTGCTGAATATTTTTCTATTGTTTGGATGTACCACAGTTTGCTTTTTCATTTACATACTGATGAGGATCTTGGTTGCCTCCACATTTTGGCAGTTATGAATAGGCTTCTATAGACATCTTCTCTTTGCCTCTTTTAATTAACATACTATAGTCAATTAATTTCAATGTGCACTATCTTTCATCTAGGAAAGGAAGGCTAATAATCCAATCTTAGTAGAAAAGTGGGCATCTGGAGTGCTATCTATAGTACATTCTCTCCCTTCGTTCACATTAGAAATGGCTTGTTTGATTTTTGTTTGTTTTTACCAGGTAGTGGCTGGAGATGTGATTTCATAGCATCACAATTCCTTAGTTGTAATTCTGAAGATAAAAAAGTTCTTAAAATTGTTAGGTAACAATGATAATCAATGAATGAATTACTGTGAGGTTATTTAGTCTTTATAGTCTGAAATTTTTTTGTTTTGCTACAGAAACATCAATGTATTGATACTAGAGTGTTGCTCTAGGTCTCTCAAAGATTATTAGATAATATATTCAATATGCACTGAATATACTCTAAAATCTGATAAGTTATGAATTCTGGAACATACCAAGCTTCATGGATTTTAGTAAGTAATAAGAAAAAGAATTTTAATTGGTTCTTATTGGACTTAAAACTAATGATCATGGTTTTACACATATCAGGTCTTAAGAATTAAGATAAATAGCAGCATAGTAAGACCTTCCCAAATAGCTTTAAGAAAGAAGATAGAGGGGTCAGCAAATGGCATAGCAGTTATGCAATGGACTCCCACATGGCCAACCGTGGTTTGAGTATGGGACCCAGTGGCTTAAAAATCACATGGGGTGTGTGTGCATGTGTGCCCATGATTCCAGGAGGAGAATGGAGAAGGGACTGTGGTGTAGACATCTCCCTGGGGGCGACTGCTCACTTTCCCTCTCATTGTCTCTGTCTCTGTCTCTCTTTCTCTCTCTCTCTCTCCCTGGTAAGTGCATGTACCCTAAGGCAAAAACCTCTTTAAAAAAGAAAAAAGAAAGAAAGAAAGAAAATGAAGTGCTGATTCCATAGCCTAGTAGTTGAGAAAGTGGATCTTCCATGGCTGATTGAGAAGCTTGAGTCCCGGCCCTAGTAGTTTAAAAGGCAAGCTGGGTGCATTGCATGTGTTCCCTAAATCCCAACAAGATGGAGAAACAGCGAAGAGGGATTGTGCTGTGACCCTGACCCATTAGAAGGGTGCTTCTCCCTACTCCTCTGTTTCTCTGTCTCTCTCTGGTAAATACATATCCCCTCTGGCAATTTAAATAAATAAATAAATGAAATGGAGGTAACAATATTTCCAAAGTTGATTATTTGGGAAAAATCTAGTAGATTTAAGGAAAAACAAGAAAAGGAAATCATACCCATAAGTCTTAATCTCAAGGGATGTGGAAAATCAGCATCAATTTCCGTTCTTAGCAACTCCTTAGCAATAGCAAATATTTCTTCTGCAGTAGAAATAACAGATGAAACTGTAGATGCACGAGTTTTTACTTCAAAATTCACATTCTTTAGCTTAATGGTAACCGTTCTACCCTATAACATAAAATACATTATTACAAATGGCATTGTAACTTCCAGAAAAAAGCTATTTACAGGTTAGAAAAATTCAGAAAGGTCTCATGGGCATATAAGAATATGAAAATTTAATTAACTATTTACAAAACATGGAAATGAAAACTCTCATAAAGAATAATGAAAATCTATAAGCAATCTAAAAATCCTGTTTTAGCCCATAATTATTACTGCCTTCCCCAACTGAATTTTTATTAAACACTTTTATTTAAAGGGTAAAGCTAATTGATCTTTTTTATTTTTAACTCTCTTTAGAAGTAAATTTAGTACCTAAAGAGACAGGGGAAAAAAATATTTCAAATCTTTGAAAAGGTCTCACAGACAGCTCATACTTGCTGTGCGCCTACTATTAATATGTCAGATACTATGCTACACAACCTGTAAGCAAAACCTCCCCTTACAGTTAGTGTTGCAGGGTACCCACTTGCAGCTGCGGATGATGAAAAGGTTCCGGAGATGTACCGTGATGCTTGCACAACAGTATGGATGTACTTAATGCCACTGAACCATGAACTTAAAAGTGGGTAAAATGGGCGCCAGCAGGTGGCACGGTGGTTAAGGGCGCTGGACTCCCACATGGCTAACTGTGGTTCGAGTCCCAGACCTCGTGGCTTGCTTTCTCACTTTCTCTCTCTGTCTCTCTCCCCTCTCTTGTCAAATGAAAATATATAAATAAGTAAAGTTAAATAAAATAATTTTTTTAAATGGGTAAAATGGCAAATTTTATACTATATGTATTTTAGTATCTCTTCAAGGTGAAACTTAATTCCTGCCCTCCCTCACTTGAAGATGGCTTAGACTCACTGACTCAGTTCCAAAGGGAAAAATAGTAGCCTCCCAGTGAAGAGGTGTAGCAAGGACTACCTTAACTAAATGATGACACGTGCCTATAACATGCTGCCTGAGAGGACGAGAAGGGGATTTCACCTGTGTGGCATTCTTTCTAAAATCCCATAACTCTGGTCATGAAAATACCATAAGACAACCCAGATAAGAGGGCATTCTGTAGGATGACTAGCCAGCATTCTTTAAGACTATCAAGATCATAAAAAAGAAGGAATGATTAAGAAATTGTCCCAGACCAGAGGCAATGAAATGTAGTCCCTGAATTGAATCCTGGAACAGAGAGAAGACATTAATGGAAAAGTAAGTAAAATCCAAATAAAGCCTGGAGTTCAGCTAATAGAAATACACTAATGACAGTTTTTAGTTTTGACAAATATACTATGGTAATGTAAGATATTATTTTGGAGGAAACTGGTTGAGAGGAATATTTTGAAACTTTATATTATTTTACAACTTTTCCATAAATCTAGTATGATTCTAAAAAGTTTACTTAAGGGGCCAGCAGGTGGCATGGTCGTTAACATGTTAGGCTCCCACATGGCTGGCCTCGGTTCAAATCCTGGACCTGGCATCTTGATTTCTCACTTTTCCTCTCTCTCTGGTCAAATTAAATGATAATAATAATAAGTAAAATTAAACAAATAATTCTTTTAAAAAGGTTTACTTGATTTTTTAAAAAAGCAGTCCTCTTGTATTCAAGGTATGATAGAGAAGGATTATAAGAAAAATGCTCATCAGACACTCCACTTTATGTAATAACTTTTTAATATTTTATAATATACTCCACCTCTAGTTTGAGGGTATTGGCAAAACACTAAATATGAAGTGTTTTGAGTGAAGATTATAAAATAGAAAGTTTAATGCCTTCTAGGCTTTTGTTCTCAATGTGTCAAGCAAACGAGATTAGAGCCTTGAGACAAAATGACTGTTCTAGAAGGTAATTGTCCATGTGAGAAAAACATTAAGGGATGATTGGCAAGGTCTTTTATAATATGTGAACAGAATTCTAGGAAAATTGTTTCCTTTGCCTTTGCCTTATCCTCTAATACCAAGGCAGCATTTTGTTATCAAAAAAAAAATTAAAAAATAAACACACCACATCAAAAAAAAAGTACCTTAAGTCCTTCTTTCTGCAGATCTTGAGCAAGTTCACTGCAAAGTTCTTGGCACAAGCTGTACTGTTCTTCTGTTTTACTTATCTCGCTGAATGTCCTAGAAAGAAAAAGAATGATGTTGATGTACCAAGTAAACTATAATTCAGGATCATTTGGGAATGATGTAGTGTGTTTAAATGACCTAAGATTAAGTTGAATTTTCTGTAATATGAAAGTACAAAATAAAGTTTTCAGATAATCTAAAATGTAATTAAATAAAAACAACATCTAAGATAATAATAAATAATGGAAAACCATTTAGATAGGTAGTCTGATTGGCCAAGAAGCAATTTTATGCTCTTGTTCTCCCTACATTATTCTTATAAAAGATGAGAAAAGTCACCAACAGATAATGATACCTGCCCAGAACTTATACCACAATGGGGTGTATGTGTATATAGAGTGCTACAGCAGATTATTTTAGGAAAGTACAGATGAGAACATCATTCCAGTTATTGTATATATATTTTCTGGATAGGAAATATTTTCAAATAGGCCTTAGGGGTTGGTTCACAGTGCCTAAACAGAGTTGTTTAATAAACAACTGAAAATAGAGAGCTGGTAAGATTAAATGTAGAAAGTTTGAATCTATCTGCAAACAAGTGTGGAAACAAGTTGAAAGATGATACTAACGTAGATGAAGAAGGAAAACACTGAAGACAGATAAGAGTGATAGATACAAAACTCCGAGCAAATTGCTGTTCTGTAGAGTCCCCTGCTAGCTACATCCCCAGCTACTCAACTATCCTCGTTAGTGGAAGTCAATGTTGGTAGCATCTCCTACTTATTAATTCCACCAGAAATATTCCACATACAAGCAAATAAGCAAACATTAACCCTCAGATACAAAGATTATATAAATAATAGAATATCAGACATACAATTTAGCACCTCATTTTTCACTATTTTGGTAAGAGTTCTCTATGAGTAACTAATTTTCTCATTTTTACATGGCAGCATAATACTCTAAAGATGTAAGTTTCATTTAAACAATTCTTTACTCATGGATATTTATTTTCAATATTTTGCTATCTTTTATAACGTCTTGAATAGCCTTGTATACATAGAAAATGACATGTGATTTCATTTATGGAATGAATGCCTAAAAAAGAATTATGGGATTGTGTAACTGATCTGATTCTATCTGTGATTCTGATAGATATGAGGGTCTTGAAAAGTTTGTGGACAACGTATAATATGAAAAAACCTTGGGACCAGCAGTTAGTGTAATGGCTATGTCGCTGGACTCCCACATAGTCAACCGCGGTTCAAGTCCCGGACCCGGTAGCTTAAACTCACTCCAGGCGCGTGTGCGTACGTGCCCAAGATCCCGAGAGGAGAATGGAGGAGAAGGGATTACAGCGTGGTCATCCCCTCTGGGGGGTGATTTCTCGCTTTCTGTCTCTCTGTCTCTCTCTGTCTGGTGAGCACATGCGCAAAAAACTCTGAAAAAAAAAAAAAAGAAAAAAAGAAAAAACCTTGCATGTATTTCAATTTTTTTGTACCAAAAAAACCCTTCATACTTTAAATGTTTTCTATGAACTGCAAGGCATGCCTCCATCAGGGTCCCCATGCTACAGTTCATCCCCAGCCCCAACCAGCCTGGATCATGGACGTGTGCGTGTGCCAGGCATATATAAAGTAGCCCTGGGAAGTGAATCTGGAACCTTCCTATGTGGGTCCAGTTGTATGAACACTATTCCACTGTCTGGTCACTCTACGAACTTTCTGAAGTCCTTGCATACTATAGATTTCTTGTTTTTGTGATATGACAAATAATGGATCCCAAAGATGTCCAATTTGTGAACCTAGTACCTTACACTGTAAAGGTGGCTTTGCAGATGTGATTAAATCATGATGGGAAAAATATCCTTGAGTATTTGAGTGTGCCCAGTGTAAGCCTAAGGGTCCTTATAAGAAGAAAGCAGGAGGACTGGAATCAGAGAAAGAAAAGATGCTGGAGACAGGAGCCAAGGAATACAGGCATTCTTTAGAAGCTCTTGGTGGAAATGATTCTTTCCCAGAGCCTCTAGAAAGAAAGTAGCCCATAAGCAACCTTAATTCTAGGACTTCTGACCTTTGATATGGTAAAAGGATATGGTAAGAGAATAAATTTCTGCTATCTTAAGCCATTGAATTTTTACTATTTTTAAAGTAAGAGCAAAAAGAAACTCTACACCTCCTCTAGAGTTTACATCTTTTTCACTACCATAGTCTTGCCAACAGAATATGTCAGAATCTTTACCAAGCTGATTAAGTAAAAAATGTTATCTCAGAGAACTTTCAATTTATATTTTTTTAATTATAAATGAGGATAGGAATATTCACTTGTTTTAAGAGCTGTTTGCATTTCCTTTTCTGTTGATCAATTATATCTTTATTCCTTTTTCTTTTGGTTTACTGGCCCTTTCTTATTGATTTTAAGAGTTCTTCACATATTAGTAAGCTCTTCGTGTGTGATATGAACCTCAATTTCCCTCTAACAAGCTCCATAGTAAAAATGATGTTCCAATGCAACTTTCAGAAAACAAAGGAAATGGGGCAAACAGCTGATGTGGTGGTTAAGACACTGCACTCCCACATGGTTGACTGCTGTTAGAGTCTCAGGCCTGGCAGCTTGCTTTCTCACTTTCCCTTTCTCTCTCTTTCTAGTCAAATTTAAAATAGTAATAATAACAAATAAAGTTAAATGAGTTTTAAAAGAGTTTTCAGAAAGGAGAAGAGAATATATTTGTGTATATCGAAAGCAATGTTCTCAACAGAAAACAATAAAATGGAAGAAAAAATTTCCAACTAGAATCTCACTTTAGGAGGCTTCTTTTTTTCTCTCGTCCTTTGATTTCTTTTATATAAATCACAGCTTAAAACAGGAATTTTTAGCAAACTCATTTACTGAGTGCATTGCCTTATAATAGTCATGCATGATGATCACTGCAATGATGATCACTATTGTGAGCAGCGACTCTGATCACAAGTAAAATATGAGACATACAGATACAACCTGTGATGATGGCGAAACGTTGCTGCTTTGATAAGATCATTGAGAGACTTTACAAATAATGATATATTTCCCCAAATAAAGTTCCATTAAGATCTCATGTGACTTCTAAACAAAACATAAACCATTAAATCAGATCATCACTAAGCTCTCTTTCAACAACAACATTTTATTAGTTGATGCCTCTGCTTATTCACCAATAGCTGTGTCTTAAATTTCCCAAAGGAACACTCAACATAATTGTTCTTGTAAATAAAGCTAGAGATTTGGAATCACAAAAGGCTTAATTTCCACTGAATAGGATTAAGCTAACATTTAAAGAAATAGTTGCAGTCAATATTATAGCAAACATAATGCAGCACTGTACTGGGATATTCAGAAGTGTGAACTGCTGACAACGGTCATTGAGGTTTGACATACATTTTAAAATTTCAGGGTTGCTTTAATAAAAATTAATTTAAAACTTAGTTTAAAATAACATGAATTACAGATATTAAGTAATCAAACATTACCTCTCAACGCTCATACTCTTCCTCTCTCCATCCCTTGAAATAATAAAAAAAAAAACTTTATATTCTTTCTCAAAGAAGACTGAGTTCTTAATCAACAAAGAGAATTTAACATAAAAATTACCATTTAGAGATCTCAATTTTTTCATGAACATTTATACATCCTAAGAAACAAAGGAGTTTTTAATCTGAAAATAAAACTATCACCAAAGAACAGAGATAGGTAAGATGCTAGTACAATTATACATATCCCAAATCAAGTCTATATCTTTTGAAGAGAATAAACTTAATAAATAGGTAGATACTATAAATTGCTCCGATTAAAAGCCTGAATATCGGGACCAGCAGGTGGTATGGTAGTTAAGGTACTGTATGATCCCACATGGCCGAACATGGTTCTAGTCCCAGACCTGATGGTTTGCTTTCTCACTTTCTCTCTCTCTCACTCTCTGGTCAAATTGAAATAAATGAATGGGTAAATAAAATTGAATAAGTAAGCCTTAGGGAAAAAAAGCCTGAATATCAAACACTACAATACAAAACCAAGAGGAAGCGGTAATGTAATAGCTTGCAGTTAGAGGGTACAATTATAATTCCATCAGTTATCTAGCTTTTGATCCAGTACATTAACTTCTCTCTCCTGTAGCCTATTCATTGTTCATTTATAACGCTATATAGAACCTCAGTCAGAGTTTGGTACACAGAAATAAGGTGAGGATGGGGAATCTGAACCAACTAGTTTGGCTGGATTCTAGCCACTCTTACAGGAGCAGTAGAAACCAAAACGTTCAAACAATATGTAAATGATTCATTTTCCAAATAGTTACTAAACCTAAGAACTGTGCTTATTACTCAAGCACAGTTCTTTTTTTATTTGCCTTTTTTTTTTTTTTTGAAAGTTTTTTGCTATAGGGCACGTGCGCTCACCAGAAAAAGAGAGACAGAAACAGAAAGCGAGAAATCACCCCCTAAGGGAGATGGCCACGCTGCAATCCCTTCTCCTGCATTCTCCTCTCGGGATCTTGGGCACGCACGCACACAGGCCCAGCATAAGTTTAAGCCACCGGGTCCAGGACTCGAACCATGGTCGGCTACATGGGAGTTCAGCGACATAGCCATTACGCTAACTGCTGGTCCCTCAAGCACAGTTCTTGAACTTGGGGATATAGTAATGAATAAAACAGAGTGTCTGTATTTAAGAAATTTATATCCTAGTGGAGAGAGACAGATAAATACATAAATACATATGGAATATTTTAGGAGACATAGTCAGATTTAAAAACAAAGGAGAATAAGGAAATAAAAAGAATATGGATAGAGAGGAAAGCAGACTTTTTTATTATTATAAATTGCCTATATATTTCACTTAAAAGCCTTCCCTGCATCTCTAAACACCACAGGTTAGTATATATTATGTTATGTCATAACTATATTCTTTTCAGGCATCATGGAAATCAAAAAAGGATAATTTTAAAAAATTATTTAACTATTTATTATTAATATTTTCCATTTTGATTAGAGAGAGACAGAGAGGGAAAGTTAGAAAGGAAGCCACCAAGTTTGGGACTCAGACTACAATGGGCTATGTGGAAGTACAACACTTTTAACTACCAGGCCACCTGCCAGTCCCAAAAGAGGACTATTTTAGGTTTAATTAAAAAAATTTTATTTACCAGCAGTTAGCATAATGGCTATGTCACTGGACTCCCACGTAGTCGACCGCGGTTTGCGTCCCAGACCTGGTGGCTTAAACTCACACCAGGCACGTGTGCGTGCATGCCCAAGATCCCGAGAGGAGAATGGAGGAGAAGGAATTGCGGTGTGGCCATCCCCCCTGGAGGGTGATTTCTCGCTTTCTGTCTCTCTGTCTCTCTCTGTCTTTCTGGCAAGCACACGCACCCTATAGCAAAAACCTCTCCAAAAAAAAAAGTTTAATTTCCTGTTACCTTCAAATACTAGATTATGTATGGTGCTATGATATCTTTATGCTTCATTATAGCCACTCAAGATCAAAGTCACCTAACTGTGTACTCAGAAGAATGAAGAGCAGGAAGAGATAAGTTATCAATACAAGTCTTGCAACTGCTGAAGCCCAAAACATAGGAGTGATTCTTTTACTTTTCTCCCACATCCAATCTGTTGACACTAATTTAAACATTATATTCTGAATTAAACTAGACTAAAACAATTTTAAAACATACTATCTTTATAGCTTTCATTTCAACAGTTAAAATAGTAGTTACAACAAATGATAAAGAAAAAACAGAATGACTAGATAGATACATAGATAGATAGATACCTTGCCAGGTGTGTTGAACCTAGACCCAGGGAAATATGAAGGAAATAATGCCAAGATGTTTCAGAGAAGAGGAGAGAAAGTAATGCCCTCTGTTGGTAGAGGTCTGTGCAAGTAATAATTCCAAGAGCCTTTAACATTTTCTCTGTAACTTTTCCTATTCCAGAAACCTAGAAAAGAATATTTACCATTAATAGATTTTTTTCATTAAGAACTGAAACAATAATCTCATTATACTTTTTATCATCAATAAAGGAATAAATAATGTAAATATCTTCACAAGTCATGCATGAAAACGGCTTTTATTATGTCTTAATCAATTTTCTAAATTAGCATTCCATAGAATTTTAAAAGGAGTCCTTGTGGTCATATCAACTTGAGAGGATTGGTGGGATGAACAAATTTAAATGGAACCTTTTAGTATTAGATTTATGAATCTTTAATATACTCCATATACGTAGTGACCCATCAAGGGGAGGTATACTCCAAAGTTATTTGACCCTAGATTTTTAGGTTTTTGCCACAGGGCACGTGCACTCACTGGAAAAAAATAGAGAAAGAGAGAAGGAAAGTAAGAAATCACCCTCGGGGTGGTGGGGTGGGGGTAGCCATGCCATAATCCCTTCTCCCTCATTCTCCTCTTGGTATTTTGGGCACACATACCTGGTGTGATTTTCAAGCCACCAGGTCCATTCCTTGAACTATGATCATCCATGTGGGAGTCTAGCACCTTAACCTCCACACCACTTGCTGGCCCCACACCCTAGAACCTTTCTTAATAGAAGGAACTATTTGTATTTTTAAAAAACATATTGAAAAGGGAGGCTGGTAGGTCGCGTAGTGGTTAAGGGCGCTGGACTCCCACATGGACAACGGTAGTTCAAAGCCTGGACCTGATGGCTTGCTTTCTCACTTTCTTTCTCTCTCCCTCTTTCTCTCTCTCTGCCTGCCTGTCTGTCTGTCTCTCACTCTCTCTCTCATTCTGTCCCTCTCTGGTCAAATTAAAATAAATAAATAAAAAGTTAAATAAAATAATTTTTAAAAAACGTATTGGAAAACACTGTTATACAGTTCTGCCTTACATATATTATTTAATAATCATTATTATATTATATAATTTGATGTAGCCCTTCTATTGAGCATTAAAAAATACTTTACACTTGTTCATATACATTAGGTTAAGTAAAAAAAGGAAGTCCTAGGATATTATATACCATACAGTACAATTACTGTAAAAAAAAAAAAAGAATCTAGAAACTCTAAAGAATAAAATATATCCTCTCTGGATCCCCCGAGGGGTAACAGTACCATTTTTAAAATGGTAAAGTATTTTGATTTAATTTTTGTCAAAAACAATTCTAAATTTCTTCAAATTATCATTCCTATTAATTTGGCCACAAACTGAATGTTAGAACTAAGAATTAAGTTAGAGCTACAGGTAATTTTAAAAAAATGTTTCTTCTCCTTGGCAGTTCACTCAAAAGTCTGTCATGTATTCATTCTTAAAAGTTCTAGCAAATAAGCTTCCTAAATCTAACTTTTAGGGCTTCAGAGAAAAATTTCTTATGTCCAAATTCAATTGTCCATCATAGTTCTTGCTTGTTACTTATGATTTTAAAATTTTATAGCAAAGGACAATTATAAACAGCCTAAATACTCATTCTTCAGAATTCAGAATATATATACATAGATAATAAATTTTACATCAAATCTCACCTTTCTAATGGGTAAGTCCTTGATGAAGTCCATCACAGCTTGTCTGTCAGGAAGAATCTGGTACTGTCCATTTGGTTTATTCTTATCACTGCATACTTTTGCTAACATTGTATTTGGGGCGATGCCTTTAAAAAAGACACTTTAATAACTCAAAGATGTTGCTATGCATGACTTTTAAACATGAGAGACAGAAAAAAATATTAAGTGCAAAGTATCTAAAATGATATGCAATACTACTTTAAAATAACGCTTCTTAAAATCTCTAAAGTTTGCATTCATGATATAAAGCATGTGCATGCCCACTAGAGAGAGTAGGAGTGAGAGAGCCACCCCCGGCAGAGCCTCATGCCACATGACTCCTTCTTGCTGCTCTTAGGATCCAGGGCATGTGTGCTGGGCACATTGTCAGACCAACCAGGAGATCTGGACCTGCAGTCAGCCGTGTGGCTTCCAGCACCGCAGTCCAGCTTCCCACTGACTGTGCTACCAGGCTGAGTCTAAAACAGTTGATTGCCATCTATTTCCCCAAGGCTTGCTATGGTTTTAAGAAAAGGAGTGTTGGGACCAGCAGTTGGTGTAATGGTTATGTTGCTGGACTTCCATGTAGTCAACTGTGATTCAAATCTCAGACCCAGTGGCTTAAACTCACGCTGGTCGCGTGTGCGTGTATGCCCAAGATCCCAAGAGGAGAATGGAGGAGAAAGGATTGTGGCAAGGCCATCCCCCCTTGGGGGATGATTTCTCGCTTTCTGTCTCTCTTTCTCTCTTTCTGGTGAGTGCATGAGCCCTATCGTGAAAACCTCTCCAAAAGCAAAAACAAACAAACAAACAAAAACACAGAAAAGGATTGTTAGTTATTGTGACAGTAAAAATGAGAAATATTTATTTCAGTCTGACATTTTAAAATCCAAGAGTCATTTCTGAGCTGAGTAATATTAAGTGTTATTACTAGTTTCCTTATTACCTTTAGTAACAATAAAATGTTACTTTGGGTCAATCAGTGGCATGGTGGTTAAGAGGGTTGGAAACCACAAGGCCAACTGTGCAGTTTGGGTTCTGGACCCAGTGGCTTGGAAAACATGCTGCATACCCAAAATCCTGAAAGGAGAAATGGAGGAGAAGGAACTGAGATGTGACCATGCCCTATTGGGGGGGTGCTTTCTCATTCTCTCTCTCTCATTCTCTCTGTCTAACTCCAGTAGGATACTGGCAAATTTTAATTTAAAAAAAAAGAAAAGAATAAAAAATTATTTTATAGTGATTTTATATCTACTTCTCAGAAAAGATCCAGTATATCATTTAGGATAAATGTTTACTCTTTAAAAAAAGATTTTTTTTTTGGTATAGATTAGCCACAGTTAAAAATTAGCCACATTGCAGTGTATTTAAAACAATAATGCTTATATTTTTCAAACTTTTATTTAATTATTTTTAAAGAATTATTTTATTTAACTTTATTTATCCATTTATTTATTTATTTATTTGAGAGGTTTTTGCTATAGGGCGTGTGCGATTGCCAGAAAGACAGAAGCAGAGAAACAGTGAGAAATCATCCCCCAGAGGGGATAGCCATGCCGCAATCCCTTCTCCTCCGTTCTCCTCTCGGGATCTTGGGCACGCACGCACATAGGCCTGGCGTGAGTTTACGCCACTAGGTCTGGGACTTGAACCATGGTCCACTACATGGGAGTCCAGTGAAATAGCCATTGTGCCAACTGCTCGTCCCTATTTTATTTTTTAATTTGACCAGAGAAGGAGAGAGAAAGAGAGACAGAGAGACAGAGTGAGAGAGAAAGAGGGGAAGTGAGAAAGCAAGCTGCTAGGTCCAGGACTCAAACCACAATTGGCCATGTGGGAGTCCAGGGTCCTTATCCACCACTCCACCTGCCAGCCCCATTTTTCAACCTTTTAATGTAACAAAGCAAATGTCACTTTTCAGAAATACATTTTACAATTTTGTTCCTTTTAAACATTACTTATTTATTTATTTATTATTACTATTATTATTTTAAAGTTTGCTATAGGGCACATGTACTCATCAGGAAGACAGAGAGAGAGGGAAAGTGAGAAAGCAAGTCACCAGGTCTGGGACTCAAACCTTGGTTAGTCATGTGGGAGTCTAGTACCTTAACCACCATGCCACCTGCTGGCCCCAGATATTTTACAGTTTCTAGGCACAAATGATTAAGATAACTTGAAGCAGCTATATTAAAATATATTCATTAAACAGTTCATTTCAATTTTTATATACATTTTAAAATTTATCATTCATTTTTTGTGTTGGTATAGAAAGGAAAGATAAGCCAAATCAAAATGAAGTTTTTACATTATAATTCAGGATCCTCACAATAAATATCAGTTATTTTGCTAAGACACAGTGATGCCCTCATGGGTTACTAACATCTATAAAGCTCTTTTTCCTTTTACCAGATGGTCCTAGATTGCCACATTGCTAGTTGGTATCTCTTTTGTCCCCTACCTTGTGGCCATCTAGGTTGTCTCCTGAAATGTAATCTTGGATAGGACTGAAGTCTTCCAAGAAAAAATTAGTAAATTTAATATATAAAACCAACCAAAGTATATTTCATGCTTAAAGAAAGATAGCTATATCAAATTTATGATAGTTTTCTTGGGGGGGGGGTCATGAAATCTGCTTAGTTCCAGTTTACCTATGGGTTCACAGCTACTCTGAATAGGTAACATTGTTAAAAGTTAAGGCAAAGAATGAATACATAAAATGTTATGATATATCTTATAATGAGAACATTAAACAGTCTGCAATGATAACCATAGTGGCCATCCATATCCTTTTAAATACCTGCACTGGCTGTCAGTGATGTTTTTTGCTCAATTCTGAAACGAATTTCCTTGACCACTTCCTCAGCTGATGATCCAAAAACAACTGAGTTTTGAAGTATTTCAGGATATTTTTGTTCTTCAAAGTTCTCTTGTAAAGAATTTCCTGGAGGCTGCAAATCAGGAGGACTGTCTTCGAAAAGTAGTGGAGACATGGATTGTTCATGATCATTCAGTTTATTAACTTCTTTTCCTGGTTTATCTAAATTACAAGCAGGGATAATAACTCATCTTCATTTAAAGAAGTACATACTTCATAAATTAGGTCTCCTTACATTATTTCTGAAGACAACCCAAATTTAGTTTAGTTGTGTTGCTAGGAACCAAGAACAGAAATGCTATCATTTATATTTAGTAACTGTTTTAAAAGGAAAACATTGATTCCAACCTTTTTCTTTTCTTTTTTTTTTTTTAATTTTAAGAGAGATTTTTACTATAGGGTGCATGCACTTGCCAGAGACAGAAAGCAAGAAATCACGCACTAGAGGGGATGGCCACACTGCAATCCTTTTTCCTCTATTTTCTTCTTGGGATTTTGGGTACACAGGCACATGCCCCAGCGTGAGTCTCAAACTGCCAGGTCCAGGACTCAAACTGTGGTGGATCATGTAGGAGTTCAGCAATGTAATCATTACAACATCTGCTGGTCACCCAAGTTTTCTTAAAAAGAATATAATCCAGCTACTTGGGAGACTGAAAAAGAATGATCAAGGTTTTGAGGCCAGCTGGGTAATACAGTGAGACACTGTCTCTAAGAGAAAAACAAAAAAACAAACAAAAAAACCTATCCAGTTCAACAGTATACTTGTAAACATTTTAAAGCACCTTACGTAAAATTTATTATTTTTTGTACCTAAGTTCGCTAAGGTTTGTACTAATGTTGAAACCAATTCTGCATTTCAATTCACATTACTTTTTTCTTTAAAAAACAGAAATCCTGGGACCAGTAGGTGCTCTGGTGGTTAAGGTGCTGGACTCCTGCATGGCTGAATGCAGTTCAAGTTCCAGACCTGGCAGCTTGTTTCTCTGTCTCTCTCTGGTGAGTGCATGTGCCCTGCAGCAAATTAAAATAACAGTAATAATAATAATATAAATAAAGTGCAATAAATAACACCCCCCCCGCCATCTTTTATTCCTCTCAAGAGGAAAAAAAAACTTTTAAATTAGAAATGAAGAAAAAAGCATTACACAATATAGAAAAATTATACTAAAATAATTTTATCTTTAGATAAAAATTAATTTTCTCTATTCATGGAAGAAGCTTTTCAGATGTTAAAATAATCTAAATTTTCTTCTTTCAAAGGCAGATTGTAGTTTTGACTTTGACTTGTTATAAAGTATCACTTTTATTAAGGGCTCACTTGCAATAAATTGAAATCACCTCTGAAAGTTATGCTTCTTTAAATATATATATTCTTTTTTAAAAAAATTTGCTAGAGGGTGCAGGTGCTCACCAGAGAGAGACAGAGACAGAAAAAGCACCGAAGGAGAAAGAACTCCTCAGCAGAGTATGGTCACGCACACCACAATCCCTTCTCTTTCATCTCCATCCTGTCTGGATTTTAGACATGTACATACACACCTCTGGAAATGTCCAGCAAGCTACCAGGGCAAGGACCAGAACCACAATTGGCCATGTGAGATCCAGCCCCTCCAATGACGAGACTGGGCGCCTGGCCCAATATATAAATTCTTAAGTCTGATCAGATTAGTAGAGTAGTCTTAGTTTAAGGGTCAGAACCTTTATTATTGCCAATAGGTTGTAAATTATTAGTAAAAATTAAAGTAAAAAATACAATCTGGGTACCAGTAGATGGCATAATGGTTATATCCCTGGAGACCACGTAATTGACTGTGGTTCAAGTCCCAGACCCGGCAGCTTAAAACTCGTGCTAGGCACGTGTGAGTGCATGCCCAAAATTCCGAGAGGAGAATGGAGAAGAAAGAATTGTGGCATGGAGATTCCTCAAAAATCTACAAATAGAACTACCATATGATCCAGCAATCCCACTCCTTGGTATCTACCCAAAGGACGGAAGAATACTTAATAGGAAAAGTGTTTGCACCTTGATGTTTATTGCGGCACTATTCACAATTGCTAAGTCATGGAAACAACCCAAATGTCCATGAACAGATGAATGGATAGAAAAACTGTGGCACATATACTCAATGTAATACTTTCATCCATAAAAAACAACAAAACCCTGGCTTTCAACAGGAAGTGGATGAATATGGAAGACTAACTGCTGAGTGAAGCAAGCCAGGCTATGAAGGAGGGGCATTGTATGTCTCTACTTAATATACACTGAGTGTCCACACTCTATGACAAAAATTAATTGACTAAAGGATATAGAAACACAGTATATAGATGTAAATACCAGATACAGTGTATGTGAAAGAGGAGGGTTTGAGGAAGGACATTTGGGGGAGGGACAGGGAGGCAAAGCATTAATGGCACAAAGAGATGTGGTATTATCTGTTGAAGATATTTTATAGTTTTATCAACTGTACTAGGGAGTAATGTTCACCTGCTGAAATATCCACTTTGTAAGACAAATAATAATGTGATTAAATGTATGGAAGAAAATGAATGAAAATTTATATAGATATAGATATTTATCTATATCTATCTATCTATCTATCTATATAAATTTAAAAAAAAAAAAGAATCATGGCATGGCCATCCCCCTAAGGGGTGATATCTTGTTTGCTGTCTCTGTCTCTCTGGTGAGCACGTACACACTTTAGCAAAAATTTCTCTCAAAAAAAAAAAATGCAATCTGGCTATCACCTCATTTTATTTACATTTTTCATATATGGCTGTAAAATGTACTTATATCTATACTGATACTAATAATGTTTTTATGAACAAACCCATTAAGAGTACTTTCTGGGCTTGATGTTAGAAAAACAGTTTAAATATATTTACAACTACTAAGATTAACAACAGAGCTTTCTGATCCCATTTAATAACTTTATTATACCCAACTATTTTCCAAATTAAGGTAAATGCAGAAGTAAATTAAGTAACAATTAAATTTCTAGTTTCCAGACACATATAAATGCAAGCTACCTGAAAAATAAACTAGGCCCTTCAGGAAAATTTTCTAAAGATAATGTAGATAATATGATAAGCACCCGATTAGTTTCAAAATTTAAAGTATATAATGTGAATTAAGTTACAGACAGATGTTTTCCAATAATGAATTTCCAGGCCACATCCACAATAAGCATTATTTTCAAACTTATCTTAACTGTTATTTATGTGCTTTGGTTCCTTTCCTTTTCCATATCCTGGTTTTAAAATGCAGTGATTCAAAGGAGATTAAGGGTATGAAACAGCTGAAATGCTGAGCCCCTTTTCCATCTAGCTGGGGGAACGTCAAGGTAAAGATAACTGTAGAAAACCTGCAGGCCACGTAAGGTCTGCCACCCTCATAATCCCTTACCCTAGAGTTCCTTTATGCCGTGATTTATACCTCAAGCATCGTGTACCACCTCACCTGCAGGTGTCACTGTGATAGCAGAACACTACACTACCGCAGGAAACACAGAATGCTGCCTTCTGGGACATTCATAGAATGGCTGCAGAACAGTGTGGTTACCTTTCTGAAAGAACATCTTACTTCTCTGTGGGCCCTGGCTGTGTAACTAACTGCTAAAGTGATTTTTTATTTGCTTTCTGACAGAAATATCTTTATAATTGCCATAACCGAGGTAATCAGAATATAACACTAGGGGCCAGCAGGTGGCATGGTGGTTAAGGGTGCAGGACACCCACATGGCAGACTGTGGTTCGAGTCCTGGACCTGGTGGCTTGTTTTCTCAGTCCCCAACACCTCTCTCTCTTTCTCTCTCTCTCTCTCATACTTGCTCACTCTGATCAAATAAGAATAAAAATACATAAATAAAGTTAAATAAAACAATTCTTTAAAAAAGTGACACTAGGATTAAAGCATTCCATCTATGTGGCAAATGCTAAAACATGTGACGTATTTCAATTCTTTACATTGCCTGGCACTCACTATATCCACATTTATATGTCAGAGTAAGCATAAAACAACCATTATTCTTTTATTTGTACATGGAAATAATGGGTAAGAATATATTTCCAGTAACTACTTTTTAAAAAGGGGGAAAATGGCAGAAAAAAAATATCTGAGACTTTAGAGAAAGCTCTATCAATCACCTGCCACAGCTCCAATGCACTGGTGACAATTTCTCATCTCATAATGTGAGATTGGATGTGCCTGAAAGTACAGCCCAGCGGGACTTATATTTGAAGAAAACAGTTAAACTATTTCAGTTGCTTAAAAGTATGAAATACATGAAGAGGATACAATACAAATAAATATGTTAAAAACAACAGATATGGGGACCAGCAGATGGCATAAGGGTTACATTGTTGGACTCGCACATAGTCGACCATGGTTCAAGTCCTCAAACTGGTGGCTTAAACTCAGGCTGGGCGTGCATGCCCCAAATCTTGAAAAAAGAATGGGGGAGAAGGGATTGCAGCATGGCCATCCCCTCCCCCCCACCCCCGGATGATTTCTCACTTTCTGTCTCTCTGTCAAGCACATGCAACTATAGCAAAAATCTCTCTAAAAATAAATAAATAAATAAATAAAGTTCAAAGCAATAGGTAGTAAAAATTCACAGCCTCACAGTGAATTTGGACAAAAAATAAACAAGAACATTAATAGAAAATGAAAATATTTTATCTTAATTCCCAATGTAAATTTTGTTTTAATACATTGTAAAAGTAATTGTTACAGGAGGACCTCAGGGGATGCTGTGACATCACTATTTAATGATTTTCTTCTCTTTTGTGATAAGTAAGGAACTAATAAAATGAGATTTTAAGGACATGAAGTCTTATGTTCCACATCCCCACACAAAATGTTATACCAACAAAGGAAAAATCTTTTGTTCTCAGACTCTGTGTCTTGAAATCATGATTACTATTTAATGTTTCTATTAAAGAAAAAAGAAAATGACCTACCTTTAAGCTTTAAATATGAAAAATCTAGTTATCTGTTGATGACAATGTACACAGTAATATCTTTAACTTGACAAATATGCACTGCATTCATGCTGGGAAAAACCATGTTATACATTGTAAAGATATACAGTGATTAAATGTAAGTTAAATATATATATGCATGTGTATATATATATATATATATATATACATATATACGCACACACACATACATATAAAACAAATGAAAAATCAGAGATTTAAAATATAATAGCAAATTTTCTGAATTAAACATGTAGACTATCACTTTTAAATCAAATGACTTAGTTAAATCTCTAGATTTTAAGAGTCTGCAGAGTCACTGAACAAATCATAGGTAATGAGAGATGTCCATAATAAACTTGCTCCAAATGATGTGAGCCTCCAACAATCTGAGAGAGTTAGAATATTATGCTATTGTGGAGTTACCCTTTTTGCTTCAGGGAAAGTTACCAGTAGGTTTCTCCACCACTGTCTGACCCCTCTGACACAGTCAATGAGTTCTAAACATGAAACATGTTGAGCAAAAACATGAGGATTGTGCACAAATCTCTGTCACCTTTTCATCCAGGTGAACTTTTTGCCTAGGCTTCCAGGAAAGCTCACACACTTAGAAGTCATACCTTTGACAAAGGATTGGAAGTAATATGTATAATATGTGCACATTTCTTGCTTTGGATAAGTAATAAAGGGATCTCTTGGGGGAAAAAAATCCTCCTGGAATCATGAAATTTGTTTCATTACTAAAAAAAAGAGTCATAATAAATAATGCCTAAAGCAAAGAAGGGAGTGGAAAGTCAATTTTGGCAGGATTGAAAATAGCCTTATTGTGGGACCAGCAGTTAGCATAATGGCTATGTTGCTGGACTCCCACGTAGTCGACCACGGTTCGTGTCCCAGACCTGGTGGCTTAAAACTCACGCCGGGCGCATGTGCTTGTGTGCCCAAGATCCCGAGAGGAGAATGGAGGAGAAGGGATTGCGGCGTGGCCATCTCCCCGGTGGGGTGATTTCTCGCTTTCTGTCTCTATGTCTCTGTCTGTCTGGCGAGCGCACGCGCCCTATGGCAAAAACCTCTCCAAAGAAGAAAAGAAAACAGCCTTACTGCTATAGAAGCAGAGTATAAAAATTTGGAGAAATGAAGAAAAATAAAATCAGCCAATATTTTGATATGTTTGAGGTTAATCTTTTAAAATCTAACTTGTGTTAACAACAACAAAAACAGGGACCAGCAGTTAGCGTAATGGCTATGTTGCTGGACTCCCACGTAGTCGACAGCAGTTTGAGTCTCGGACTGGTGGCTTAAACTCATGCTGGGTGCATGTGCGTGTGTGCCCAAGATCCCAAGAAGAGAATGGAGGAGAAGGGAATGCGGCGTGGCCATCTCCCCTGGGGGGTAATTTCTCGCTTTCTGTCTCTCTGTTGAGCACACGTGCCCTATAGCAAAAGTCTCTCCAAAAAAAAAAAATGCTCCTTAAAACAGATAACTTCTTTAGCTTCAATGCAATCCAAACTCTTTGCTACTAAGATCTTGAGAAAATAAAATGAAATGAAATCATTCTGTTCATGAACTCTGTAGGCTCTTAAAAACTAAAGATTTGGGACCAGCAGGACATAATGGTTACATTGCTAGACTCCCACGTAGTTGACTGCAGTTCGAGTCTCAGACATGGTGGCTTAAAACTCACGCTGGGTACACGTGTGTTTATGACTAAAATCCCAAGAGGAAAATGGAGAAGGGATTGTGGCATGGCTGTCCCCCTGAGGGTGATTTCTTGCTTTCTGTCTCTCGGGCAAATGCATGCACTCTATAGCAAAAATCTCTCTAAAAAACAACAACAAACCCCTAAATATTTAACATCATCAAGATGACAGTCTACATATTTAACTGAGAAAACTCACTTGTTTAAGTCTCTTCATTTTTATAAAGGTATATATAGTCTTATCCCTTATATATGTCAATGGGTTAAATAGATTAATTCAGAATTTTGTGTTTGTTTGTTTTTAGTTTCATAGCTTTAATGAATTGCTTACCATTTTCCACAGAGTTTCCCATTTTGATAAAATATCTTCTGTCCTCGGGCCAATTTTGTCTTTCCTGTAAGTGTTTTGTTATATTCAAGTAGGCTTCGTCAAGACTCATGGCCATAAAGTTGGGATCATAATCAGCAAGTATTTCCTTAACCTTCAAAAGAAACAAAAATGGTTTACATTTTGCTGCCATAGCAAAACCTTCTGTCATATACAGCTAATAAGAAACATTAATATTCTTATTTTGCAACTACAGTAACGATCCTGCAATCAATAGTTCATGGATTTAAGGAATAAATAATTTAATACTAGGGCATATTTCTCAAAATTCTCTTTTGCATTAAAATAGATCTTAAAGGCGGAAGACCATGAAATACCTTCATCTGATGCAACCTCTACTTAGCCACTTCCATCTAGATACAGTAAATGATATTAATAGATCTCAGACAGCATTGGTCTGGTAGGCACAGAAAAAAATGCTTCAGGCTTTGGGTAGCTGGTTGAACATATTACTGAGAATGATTAAGCCCCTACTCTCTCTCATTTTTAATAATGGTTTTTGTTCATTTAAAAAAGAATAATCTTGGGACCAGCAGAAAGTGCAATGCTTAGGTTGCTAGACTCCCATGAAGTTGACCATAGTTCAAGTCCTAGAACTGGAAGCTTAAAACTCATGCCAGGTGTATATACGTGTGTGCCCAAAATCCCGAGAGGAGACTAGAGAAGGGATTGCAGCATGGTCACCCTCCCTGGGAGGTGATTTCTAGATTTCTGTCTTTCTGCCTCTCTCTTTCTCTGGCAAGCACATGTGCCCTATAGCAAAAACCTCTCTTAAAAGAAAGAATGATCTTACACCAAGGAACTATGTTGCTTTGGAAAGTTGTTATTGATCAGTTATGTAAAACAGTCACACAAAACTCCCCTCAATACATACATTAACATCTGTGTCCATACAGAAAAAGTAAGCTCTTTTATTTATCAGGATCCAGAATGGAAAAGATGACAAAATCTGTAGTATCATTTCATGATTACCATTAAATGATGGGAAAAGGTTGGAGTTGTATCTTGGGATATAAGAGCAATGTTTAGGGGGCCAGATGGTGGCATAGCAGTGGCACAACTGGACCCACATGGGAAAGCCTTGATTTTCAAGCTGCCAGATCTGGAACTCAAACTACAGTCGGCCATGTGGGAGTCTAGCACCTTAACTACCCTGCCACCTGCCGGTCCCATGATAATTTTATTATATAACACCACGGAGTTGTTTCCCTTTCTCTTTCTTCTTTCTTTTTTAAACCATTTAAATATTCATTTTAATTAGAAGGAATTGTTGCCAAAATAAATGTATACATGTTGAATATCCATAATCTGAAAATGTAATATCTAAATTCCAAAATTCAGAACTTTTTGAGCACTGACATGATGCCTCAAGTAGAATATTCCTTATCTTACCTGATGTGATGGGTCACAGTCAAAACACTACAATAAATAATGCAAAAAGAATTGTATAAAATTACCTTTATGCTATGAATATAAGGCTTATGAATTATAAATGAATTTCGTGTTTAGACTTGGGTGCTATCCTCAAGGTATTTCATTATGTATATGTAAATGTTCCACAATCCAAAAAAATCTGAAATCCATACTATTTATGGTCCTAAGCATTTTGATAAGGGATACTGAACTTATTTTAGAAAACATAGAGCTGCTAGGGCCAGCACATGGTGTGGTGGTTAAGGCACTGAATCTGACATGGCCGTCTCTGCAGTTTGAGCCCTGGACCTAGCAGCCTGAAAAACATACAAGGTACATGTGTATGTGTGCCCAAAATCCTGAAAAGAGAACAGAGGAGAAGGGATTGTGGTGTGGCTATCCCCCTTGGGGGTGATTTCTCACTTTCCCTCTCTTGTCTCTCTGGCAAGCACATGTACCCTTATGGTAAAAATCTAAAAGAAAATAGAAAAAAAAAAGAAATCATAGCTGCTAAATTATTATACTTCCATCTAGCATTTGAAAGCTATCACTATATCACAAGAAAACCTTTTGTTGTTTCATAAAGAGGAAAGCTTTTTAGCTTAATATGATTATGAACAGCTGAGTCAAGGGGAATTTAGAAAATGGTGATATAAAACTTGGCTCAGTTTTACTCAGAGTGCCTTAATTAGCTCTGTTCTTATAGAAGAAACCCTTTTAAAAATATACTCAAATAGAATCTTTCTAGTGAAAATGAAACTCTGGAAAGTCTGTAACTGGCAGCCAACTAAGATTTTGAATGAGAAGTACTCCCTAGAGACAATGCTGACTACTAATTTCCTTTACATAGGGTACTGCTATAAGAACTAAAATAGACATATTCTTGCAAAAATCAAGCACTTATAGTTCCAAGACCAGTTAAAGCTATTATAATATTTTGGATTTTTTAATTGGCTTTTTCTTATGCTTTCTAACCAAACCATAAATACCGATGTATCTACAGTCAGTGATGAATTTGTGCTGTAGCTCATTTACACATAAGAACTCACCGGTTACTCAAAAACTAGCTAGATCTTGTTTAAATTTAAAGATTTCTCCAACTTATGTAAATAGACTAAAGTTAGCAAAACAATTTAATTCACATGGTCATTATTGAGTTAAATTAGGACTTTAAAAAGCTTCTTTCTTATGAAGTCTCTGTAGATTTCTGAAACTTATTAAAAATTTTTAATATTTATAGTTCGCATTTTATCACTTTTTTCAGTTAGGAAGACAGTAAATTAGATAAACAGTAACTAAATGTATGTGTACTTTTTCACTCCTCAACCTAACTAGAGATAGGGGCAAAGCACTTGTTTTCACAATTTTCAAAAGAATAAAAAATAATTGTTTTAGAAGTTGGGGTGGTGTGTCATTTCCAGAGGAAATGAGGTGGAAAACAAATAAGAGGAGGAAATTTAAAGGCCACTTGCTTGGCTAAATGGTAATAAGTGCGAGGCCTTAGTTTCTTAAGTGTTTTCATTCAAACAGTAACCTTTAACACACAGCATTTAAGCAAAGCAGTCTAAAAGCATTTGATGTAACATTCTAAAATTTTAACTCAAAAATTTAATTCTAGGAATGCAAGACAGGCCAGTTGTCAACAAAAATAGAGAAAATGGAAGTATTTCAGATATGATAGGCAATTTTAATATATAATCAAATCTTTATACTTCAGAGGTCTTTTTCAAAGCAATGAATCACTTTCTTTTCTCTTTAATTGTCAGCCTCTTAGACATTAAATGCTCATAAAGAAAATGCTCATTAACACCTTTCCTAGATTGTGGGGTAAGGAAAGCAGCTAATCAAGTGAATTTTGTCACTATTTAACAATACTGATACAAAATTATGTAAACTGTAAAGTGCTTCTGGAAGAAAGTAGGTATTGCACATAAGAAAAATAGCTAAAGTTAATTTTATGTTATAATTAAGCCAATTCAAAGTCTAGGCAGATGAGAAGAGTTTTCTAAGCAGATGAAAATATATTGAAAGACAAAGAATTGGGAAACAGAATAGTACCATATGCAGCTCAGTAGTCAGTACACAAGCTGAAGAAGATAGCAAGCAAGATTAAAGGGATAAGCTAAGCACAAATCACTGTGTGCTAAGTCATTAGGACCTCGCTCCGTAGATGACAGGAAACCAGTAAAAGGATGTGAGTTGGGGTCAGACATCATCTTACCTGTTTACTCACAGCTCGGTATTTGTCAAAGTTTGGGGGCACTATAATTAGTTGTGGGCAGAGTCTCTTAGCAATAAATCCTGGCATGGCTGCACGAACGCCAAACCTCCTTGCATGGTAATTTGAGGTAGACTGAAAGAGAATTGACCACATGGGGAAAAATATCCAACACTAAATGGACATATTGATCAATGCATTCATAAGAAATACAGATGATGTACATTTTTAATTCAAGGACATTTCTTTTATAGGCCACTGTATTGAACCAAGCTTTGACTTTATCTTATCATATTATGATACCATGACCCTCTCCCATTGCCTTCCCTACATTTATAATGTAATATCAGGTAATGAGCAAGACTATATTAATAAAAAAAAAGTTCTTATATTTCCAGTGGCTAAACATCATTGGTTTCAATGGCTGTAAAATATTATGTATCAAAGTTCACATAATACTGGGTGATACTATGTGAAAGGAGTAAAGGAGTAATAGGGTGAAAAGTATAGAGTAATTAGTATAGTACAAATAGTATAGACATTGTATAAAGTCATAGTGTAGAAAGTAATTATCAATAGCAATAGTATAAAAGTATACTTTCAGAATTTGTTCTACTTGGAAATTTGAAAATTTTTCATCTAGAAAATCAAAGGTCTAACATATGATCAGCCAAATTAGGTCTCCAAAACAAAGCAATTAACATATATACAAACCTTAATAATTAAGTTTTTTTTTTTTAATTTCTCCCGTAAGTTACCAGAGTGATGCATAAGCTTGCTGAGAGAGACAAAGATAAGGAGAGAGAAAGCACTCCCAGTGAGGTATGGGAGTGCTTCTTCCTCCATTTCTCCTTCCTGTCAGGATTTTGGGCATGCATGCACATGTGCCCAACATGTTTTTCAAGTTGCTAGGGCCAGAATTCGAACCACAGTTGGCCATGTGGAATCCAGATCCCTAAATAATGTGCTTCAAGGGAAGTCCAAGTTTTATTTCTTAATATCTTTTTTTGTGAAAACCTTTTTTCTTTCTTTTTAAAAGTCCATTCTGGGACCAATAGATGGCATAATGGTTATGTTGCTGGACTCCCACGTAGCTGATTGTGGTTCAAGTCCTGGACCTGGCGGCTTAAAACTCATGTTGGTATTTGTCTGTGTGTGCATGCCCAAAATCCTGACAGGAGACTGGAGGAGAACAAATTGCAGTGTGGCCATCCCCCCTAGGGGGTGATTTCTCACTTCTGTCTCTCTGTCTCTCTCTGTTTCTCCAGAGAAAGCATGTGCCCTATAGCCAAAACCTCACTAAAAAAGAAAAAAAAAAGTCTATTCATTTATTTCTTCCATGAGAGAACAGAACAAAGAGAGAAAATTAGAAGGCAGGTACCCCCACCCAAATCTTGACATAATCCTTTTTCCTCCACCTTTCCTTTCTGTCAAGACTTGGGTATGCATCTTCATGTGCCTGACAAATTTTCCAAGTTGCTGGGCCAGGACTCAAACTGCAGTTGTTCATGTAGGATCTTAGCTTAACCACCACATTTCAAGGCCAGCCTGGCCCCCACTCTTTTTTACTGTTGGAGTGTCAGAGACTATGTGCACTGGAAGTGGGAAGAGAGAGACAGAGAGAGAGAGAGACAGCATCCCTCAATGGGTCATGATCTAGGAACAGAGAATAACTCTTTTTGTAAATTTTTTTGAATATCCAAACCCATTTATTCCCAGTTTTAATTTCCAACACATTTTCAATCACAGACAACTATCCTGGTCATCTTTACCTTCTTTGGTTAGGGTGGGAAAAAGGAAGAACAAAATAGTAATCATAAAAAACAAAGGTTCCAACTCATGAGAAAAACTATTTAATTGCATTCTAAATGTGCCATATTAATGAAATATGTTATTTTAGAACTAGGTTTGCTAAACCTTTTCTGTAACAGTCCAAGTAGAATCACTTTAGGTTTTGCAGATCATATGCTCTCAACTCCCTCCCAACCCTTTTTTGAATCTTTCTTCTTTCTTTTTTAAACCATTTAAATATTCATTTTAATTAGAAGGAATTGTTGCCAAAATAAATGTATACATGTTGAATATCCATAATCTGAAAATGTAATATCTAAATTCCAAAATTCAGAACTTTTTGAGCACTGACATGATGCCTCAAGTAGAATATTCCTTATCTTACCTGATGTGATGGGTCACAGTCAAAACACTACAATAAATAATGCAAAAAGAATTGTATAAAATTACCTTTATGCTATGAATATAAGGCTTATGAATTATAAATGAATTTCGTGTTTAGACTTGGGTGCTATCCTCAAGGTATTTCATTATGTATATGTAAATGTTCCACAATCCAAAAAAATCTGAAATCCATACTATTTATGGTCCTAAGCATTTTGATAAGGGATACTGAACTTATTTTAGAAAACATAGAGCTGCTAGGGCCAGCACATGGTGTGGTGGTTAAGGCACTGAATCTGACATGGCCGTCTCTGCAGTTTGAGCCCTGGACCTAGCAGCCTGAAAAACATACAAGGTACATGTGTATGTGTGCCCAAAATCCTGAAAAGAGAACAGAGGAGAAGGGATTGTGGTGTGGCTATCCCCCTTGGGGGTGATTTCTCACTTTCCCTCTCTTGTCTCTCTGGCAAGCACATGTACCCTTATGGTAAAAATCTAAAAGAAAATAGAAAAAAAAAAGAAATCATAGCTGCTAAATTATTATACTTCCATCTAGCATTTGAAAGCTATCACTATATCACAAGAAAACCTTTTGTTGTTTCATAAAGAGGAAAGCTTTTTAGCTTAATATGATTATGAACAGCTGAGTCAAGGGGAATTTAGAAAATGGTGATATAAAACTTGGCTCAGTTTTACTCAGAGTGCCTTAATTAGCTCTGTTCTTATAGAAGAAACCCTTTTAAAAATATACTCAAATAGAATCTTTCTAGTGAAAATGAAACTCTGGAAAGTCTGTAACTGGCAGCCAACTAAGATTTTGAATGAGAAGTACTCCCTAGAGACAATGCTGACTACTAATTTCCTTTACATAGGGTACTGCTATAAGAACTAAAATAGACATATTCTTGCAAAAATCAAGCACTTATAGTTCCAAGACCAGTTAAAGCTATTATAATATTTTGGATTTTTTAATTGGCTTTTTCTTATGCTTTCTAACCAAACCATAAATACCGATGTATCTACAGTCAGTGATGAATTTGTGCTGTAGCTCATTTACACATAAGAACTCACCGGTTACTCAAAAACTAGCTAGATCTTGTTTAAATTTAAAGATTTCTCCAACTTATGTAAATAGACTAAAGTTAGCAAAACAATTTAATTCACATGGTCATTATTGAGTTAAATTAGGACTTTAAAAAGCTTCTTTCTTATGAAGTCTCTGTAGATTTCTGAAACTTATTAAAAATTTTTAATATTTATAGTTCGCATTTTATCACTTTTTTCAGTTAGGAAGACAGTAAATTAGATAAACAGTAACTAAATGTATGTGTACTTTTTCACTCCTCAACCTAACTAGAGATAGGGGCAAAGCACTTGTTTTCACAATTTTCAAAAGAATAAAAAATAATTGTTTTAGAAGTTGGGGTGGTGTGTCATTTCCAGAGGAAATGAGGTGGAAAACAAATAAGAGGAGGAAATTTAAAGGCCACTTGCTTGGCTAAATGGTAATAAGTGCGAGGCCTTAGTTTCTTAAGTGTTTTCATTCAAACAGTAACCTTTAACACACAGCATTTAAGCAAAGCAGTCTAAAAGCATTTGATGTAACATTCTAAAATTTTAACTCAAAAATTTAATTCTAGGAATGCAAGACAGGCCAGTTGTCAACAAAAATAGAGAAAATGGAAGTATTTCAGATATGATAGGCAATTTTAATATATAATCAAATCTTTATACTTCAGAGGTCTTTTTCAAAGCAATGAATCACTTTCTTTTCTCTTTAATTGTCAGCCTCTTAGACATTAAATGCTCATAAAGAAAATGCTCATTAACACCTTTCCTAGATTGTGGGGTAAGGAAAGCAGCTAATCAAGTGAATTTTGTCACTATTTAACAATACTGATACAAAATTATGTAAACTGTAAAGTGCTTCTGGAAGAAAGTAGGTATTGCACATAAGAAAAATAGCTAAAGTTAATTTTATGTTATAATTAAGCCAATTCAAAGTCTAGGCAGATGAGAAGAGTTTTCTAAGCAGATGAAAATATATTGAAAGACAAAGAATTGGGAAACAGAATAGTACCATATGCAGCTCAGTAGTCAGTACACAAGCTGAAGAAGATAGCAAGCAAGATTAAAGGGATAAGCTAAGCACAAATCACTGTGTGCTAAGTCATTAGGACCTCGCTCCGTAGATGACAGGAAACCAGTAAAAGGATGTGAGTTGGGGTCAGACATCATCTTACCTGTTTACTCACAGCTCGGTATTTGTCAAAGTTTGGGGGCACTATAATTAGTTGTGGGCAGAGTCTCTTAGCAATAAATCCTGGCATGGCTGCACGAACGCCAAACCTCCTTGCATGGTAATTTGAGGTAGACTGAAAGAGAATTGACCACATGGGGAAAAATATCCAACACTAAATGGACATATTGATCAATGCATTCATAAGAAATACAGATGATGTACATTTTTAATTCAAGGACATTTCTTTTATAGGCCACTGTATTGAACCAAGCTTTGACTTTATCTTATCATATTATGATACCATGACCCTCTCCCATTGCCTTCCCTACATTTATAATGTAATATCAGGTAATGAGCAAGACTATATTAATAAAAAAAAAGTTCTTATATTTCCAGTGGCTAAACATCATTGGTTTCAATGGCTGTAAAATATTATGTATCAAAGTTCACATAATACTGGGTGATACTATGTGAAAGGAGTAAAGGAGTAATAGGGTGAAAAGTATAGAGTAATTAGTATAGTACAAATAGTATAGACATTGTATAAAGTCATAGTGTAGAAAGTAATTATCAATAGCAATAGTATAAAAGTATACTTTCAGAATTTGTTCTACTTGGAAATTTGAAAATTTTTCATCTAGAAAATCAAAGGTCTAACATATGATCAGCCAAATTAGGTCTCCAAAACAAAGCAATTAACATATATACAAACCTTAATAATTAAGTTTTTTTTTTTTAATTTCTCCCGTAAGTTACCAGAGTGATGCATAAGCTTGCTGAGAGAGACAAAGATAAGGAGAGAGAAAGCACTCCCAGTGAGGTATGGGAGTGCTTCTTCCTCCATTTCTCCTTCCTGTCAGGATTTTGGGCATGCATGCACATGTGCCCAACATGTTTTTCAAGTTGCTAGGGCCAGAATTCGAACCACAGTTGGCCATGTGGAATCCAGATCCCTAAATAATGTGCTTCAAGGGAAGTCCAAGTTTTATTTCTTAATATCTTTTTTTGTGAAAACCTTTTTTCTTTCTTTTTAAAAGTCCATTCTGGGACCAATAGATGGCATAATGGTTATGTTGCTGGACTCCCACGTAGCTGATTGTGGTTCAAGTCCTGGACCTGGCGGCTTAAAACTCATGTTGGTATTTGTCTGTGTGTGCATGCCCAAAATCCTGACAGGAGACTGGAGGAGAACAAATTGCAGTGTGGCCATCCCCCCTAGGGGGTGATTTCTCACTTCTGTCTCTCTGTCTCTCTCTGTTTCTCCAGAGAAAGCATGTGCCCTATAGCCAAAACCTCACTAAAAAAGAAAAAAAAAAGTCTATTCATTTATTTCTTCCATGAGAGAACAGAACAAAGAGAGAAAATTAGAAGGCAGGTACCCCCACCCAAATCTTGACATAATCCTTTTTCCTCCACCTTTCCTTTCTGTCAAGACTTGGGTATGCATCTTCATGTGCCTGACAAATTTTCCAAGTTGCTGGGCCAGGACTCAAACTGCAGTTGTTCATGTAGGATCTTAGCTTAACCACCACATTTCAAGGCCAGCCTGGCCCCCACTCTTTTTTACTGTTGGAGTGTCAGAGACTATGTGCACTGGAAGTGGGAAGAGAGAGACAGAGAGAGAGAGAGACAGCATCCCTCAATGGGTCATGATCTAGGAACAGAGAATAACTCTTTTTGTAAATTTTTTTGAATATCCAAACCCATTTATTCCCAGTTTTAATTTCCAACACATTTTCAATCACAGACAACTATCCTGGTCATCTTTACCTTCTTTGGTTAGGGTGGGAAAAAGGAAGAACAAAATAGTAATCATAAAAAACAAAGGTTCCAACTCATGAGAAAAACTATTTAATTGCATTCTAAATGTGCCATATTAATGAAATATGTTATTTTAGAACTAGGTTTGCTAAACCTTTTCTGTAACAGTCCAAGTAGAATCACTTTAGGTTTTGCAGATCATATGCTCTCAACTCCCTCCCAACCCTTTTTTGAATTTTAATTGGCCAAAGGGCATGTATGCTTACCACGGAGAAAGACAAAAGGAGAGAAAGTGAGAAAACACTCCTCGGAGTGTTTTGAGATTTTAGGTATATATACTAGTGTTAGTGTGTTTTTCAAACTGCCCTCCAAGACTTGAACCACACAGTAGGACATGGGGGATCCAGCTGTCTTAACCACCAAGCCACATGCTACTGGATGACTCACAACTCTGCTCTTTTTAATGACAAATTCACTCATTTAATGAATAAATAGGTGTGAATTGTTCCAATAAAATTAATTTACACAAAAAGTTATTGATGCTCAAATCTGCCTGCAGGTCATGGTTTGAAAACTTCTGCTTTTGGGAACCAGCAGTTAGCGTAATGGCTATGTTGCTGGACTCCCACGTAGTCGACCACGGTTCACGTCCCGGACCCGGTGGTTTAAAACTCACACTGGGCACGTGTGCGTGCATGCCCAAGATCCCGAGAGGAGAATGGAGGAGAAGGGATTGCGGCGTGACCATCCCCCCCTGGGAGGTGATTTCTCGCTTTCTGTCTCGATGTCTCTCTCTGTCTGTCTGGCAAGCGCACATGCCCTATAGCGAAAATCTCTCAAAAAAAAAAAAAAAAAACCTTCTGCTTTTGAAAAACTTTTTTTCTTTCTTCTTAACTCCCTTTAACTAGAATAGTTACTTATGAAAAGCTTAATTTGCAATAATAAGATACAACTTACAAGGTAAATTATTAAACAACTCTTTGAGTTTTCTTTTCATTTAAATGTTAATAAAAATCAGTATAGCCACTGGTCACTTAATGACAGAGTAGATCCTTCCTACACCTAGGTTGTTAAGCGAATTGGTCCAAAAACTAGGAGCTTAAAGGCAGATTTTTGTGGTGTGTTGTGGTGCCATAGGGTATGTACTTTTCAACAGTTATAACATGATTATCACACTAGAATAATGTAATTCTATTCATATAAAAAGTGTATGTTAGATAAGCACCAGAAAGCAAAAAGACATACTACAACACAGTAATATAAATCTGACGTAATCATTTTTATTGATTCTGAATACTACTATGGGTGCACAATAAAGTACAAACTTACAAATGAAATATGAAATCTTGCAGGATTGCAAGATTAATATTCCCAGGTAGGGAATATTAACTGACTACGGGAATGAGATAAAGACAGAAAAAGGAGATTCCTGAGACTCACACAGACTGAGAAAGGGGATCTCTATGCTGGAGAACTTCTCTTATGCCTCAGAGTCATTACCGGTAGGCTGATAAGCGAGGAGTGGCTATCCCTTAAGGTATGCTGAAAGGATTCAGTAACTGAGCAATTATATTGTACCCAGAAAAATCACTGAGCAAACTGGTAGATTGCTGTAAGGACTTGCATCTTCATGAACAAGTAAGGCTTACTTGAATAGGCTATGAATTTTCTTTTTTGTTTTTCATCTTTTCCTACTTACCAACATGCTCATTGATCCTACAGCAATGGGTTTTTCCTTCAATTCTGGATTGTCCCTCATTTCTACAGCTGCGTAGAAAGCATCCATGTCAATGTGCACTATAGTATTGCTCAAATTTCGGCTCTGTTCTAATTCCATTGCAAATCTGTCGACCTTAATTTTTAAAAAGTAAATATACTTTTAGAAAACATAATTTTGAAATATCAGTAAGCACAATATTAATCTTAATTTAGTAGGTATCTCTACCTTGTGGTCTATCCATCCAGCCAGCTACTCATTCACTCACACACTGGTGTCTATTTTACTATGTTTCTCAATACGTATGTTATTACAATCTATGAGTGTTTATGTATATTTTACTTTTGTTTATTAAGGTTGGTAATTGCTTTTGTTTTCACAAGCAGGGACAGCCTGTTCTCAAACACCATTCCCTACTAGCTCTTTCATCTCTCCAATACTTCTAGGCATACAACAGGAACTCAACAAATGTTTATTAAGTGAACAAACTATCCCAATTGCTTTTGCCAAAAGATTCTATTGCTTTATAAACTTGGAGAATAATATACTGTAACTGAAAACTTCAACGTAGGTAAAATAAACGACTCCCATTAGACTTAAAATCCTAAATGTCTCAAAATAGAAACAAAGGAAATTGTAACAAAAGATCATACCTCTTTGGCATATGATGTTTATGATAAACAGTAATGTACAACTGAACATACTGAAGCATAATATAAACATTTCCTATGAAGAACTGCTTTTACAAATGCTAAAATTTAATAAATGTTAGTCTATACAAATAAAAAGTGAAAACTTAAGCTGTAACTTATTCTTCATGAACTTGAAGTATTTTAGTCTTTAAAGAATTTTAGTCTCTTCAGAAAGGAAAAGTTAGATTGATAAGAGAAAAGAAATAAAAGGGGTAGAAATAATCAGAGGAAGCGGGTAAGAAAAGGATTTATTAGCAGATAGTTCTAAATGTTCCTTCCTGTGTGTGGTTGGAAAAAGAGGTACAAAAAGCTATATACTCAGTTTCTCAGACAACCCTGCATCTGGGTGTGATTGTGTGACAGTTTTGATCTATGTAACATGTAAGGAAATTGCCAAAATCATTAAAATAAAATCATAAGAGAGGAAAGCTTTTAAGTGAGCTGGAATACATAAAGGGCATGGAACAGTGCCTGACACATGGTACAAGTTCAATAAATGCATTCTATTATTTAAAGGTTCTATTATTTAAAGAATAACTGCATAACAAAGCAATCAAAAACTGAGGGGAAAATTGCTAGAAATATGCAAATAGGGTGATCTCTGGAATAAAAGCAACGTCCATCAAGTGGCGACCTTACAGCAAGTTTCCTCAAAGGTGGAGAGCTACGACAAAATGTGGCTCTATTCCTCATGCTCAACTTCAACCTTCCCGACCCTCTGCCCACCTTTTTTTTTTTTTTCACAGCCTTGCTCTAAGCATTATTGTCACACTTAGCTGCCTACTAGTTGCAGATTAAAATCATAATTTCTCTTTTAGAAACAATCACCTTGAATCAAATCAGTCTCCAGTAGCAATAGTAAGGCTCTCCAGAGGGCCTGCTTCTATTTAGGCTGCAACTCACTGAATGATGTGGAGTGCTCTATGCCTTCCTCAGGCTGTTCCTTTGCCCAGAATGACTTTCCTAGCTCTTGCCAAAAGCCTTCAAGGATTGGGACCAGCAGTTAGCTTAATGGCTATGTCGCTGGACTCTCATGTAGTCGATCACCTGGACTCGGTGGCTTAAAACTCACGCCAGGCACGTGTGCATGCGTGCCCAAGATCCCGAGAGGAGAATGGAGGAGAAGGGACTGCAGCATAGCCATCCCCCTTGAGGGGTGATTTCTCGCTTTCTGTCTCTCTGTCTCTCTCCGGCGCGCGCCCCCCCCCCCAAAAAAAAAAACCCCCAAAAAAAAAAAAAAAAAAAAAAAGGCTTCAAGGATCGACTCAAATATCTCTCTGTAACTTAACTGGATCTCTGTTCTCTGTGCCATAGAATTTAATGTTCCCTTATTTGCTTTCCTGATCTTACTGTGGCATTTACTGTACTCAATACTGAATTGTGAGCTCCTTCAAGAGGAAGACCTTATCTGCCTTTAAATTCTTTCCCTATAAGAAAAACAAGGAGGAGAAACTGGTAGGAGAAAAGGCATACAATTTATAGAGATATATTAAATTTGGTTAAAAATGTGAAAGACGTATTTGTAGAAAAATTTTGGAGAAGGCTTTTTGTTGTGAGACAACATATCTAATAAATGGAACTTTATTACCTGAATTTATCATCCTGATACAAAACAATTTCTTCTAGGGCTGACCCCATAGCACAGTGGTCAAATGAGTAGCATCCTACATCGCCAAATGTTGTTTGAATCTTGGCTCTGGCAGCCTAAGAAACATGCTAGGTGTGTATGCATCTGAGCCCAAAATCAGTGGAAAAGGGGGGATTGTGGTATGACCACGCCTCATTGGCAGATGCTTTATTTCTCTCTCCTACTCTCTCTCTCTTTCACAAGTACACTCTGGAGAGCACATAAACTCTCTAGCAATTAAGAAAACAAAACCATTTATTCTAGCATCTCAATTTTGAACTAAAGAATAACATTCTGACTAGATGCAGGCCTACCATGGAGACAGACTATTAAGAATAACAGTAGACTAAAAAAACAATTTTTATTAATCCAACAAATATGCCTAAAATATGAGTCAAGTGAGAATAAGGGAGAGGCATATGAGATATATTGACCTGGAATCATCTAAAAAATAAAAAGATAAATAGAAAGCAAAGCAAATGGAAAAACTAATCTCTCAGACTCATATATTAATGCTACGACAGTTTCTTCAGCAATCTATTCTCTTCCTTATGCTTAAAGCAAGCATACAGCTGCCAAAAAGAACCCTCCCCACAGCATGACTCATACATTCCATTTTCCTTCACTATCTCTCCTTAGTCACCCTTCTCTGAACTCTTCTCTTTCTACATCTACCAGATGTACACCACCAGTGCTTTTTAACACTTCTTTTACTGAAATTTTTACTCATGTTTTTCTTTCTTGCATTTTCCCTCCCAATGACTTTCTACTTCTGTTCTGAGTCTCAGACATGTATGTTGTTCTTTTTTTGCTACCATCCAGAACTGACATGTGCCACAGGAATTAAAAACAAGGACTTGGTTTGGGTCACAGATTTGCTACTCATTAATTACTTGATAGTGGGCAAGTTAACCCCTCATCCTTAGTATCCTTACTAGTACAGTGATAATAAAAACATGAAAGGGTACTGAAAGAATTAAAGAGCTCCTCAACTAATGTACTTATCTAGGAATATGGTAAAGGCTAAATAAGATTACCTATAGTTTCTTTTTTTTAATAGTATTTTTTTTTTATTTTTCTTTTTTTTTTTTTGGAGAGAGTTTCACTATAGGGCGCGTGCGCTCGCCAGACAGACAGAGAGAGACATAGAGACAGAAAGCGAGAAATCACCCCCCAGAGGGGGATGGTCACACCGTAATCCCTCCTCCTCCATTCTCCTCTCGGGATCCTGGCCAAGCACGCACACGCGCCTGGCATGAGTTCTAAGCCATCGGGTCCAGGACACGAACCGCGGTCGACCACGTGGGAGTCCAGCGACATAGCCATTACGCTAACTGCTGGTTCCCTTTAATAGTATTTTTTAAAAGAAATATTTACTTATAGGACCAGCAGTTGGCATAATGGCTATGTCACTGACTGCCATATAGTCAACCACGGTTCGATTTCCGGACCTGGTAGCTTAAACTCACACCAGGCGCATGTGCGTGCATGCCCAAGACCCTGAGAGGAGATTGGAAGGGAAGGGATTGCAGCATGGCCAACCCCCCAGGGGGGGTAATTTTGGGGTAATTTCTCACTTTCTGTCTCTCTGTCATTAGAGAGAGAGAGAGAATGAGAAAGCAAGCCACCAGGTCTGGGATTTGAACTACGTTCAATCATATGGAAATCTAATGCCTTAACCACAAAGCCACCTGGCCCCAAGATTACCTATAATTTTAAAAACAGAAATCATAGGGCCAGCCAGCGGTGTGGTGGTTAAGGTGGCTGGATCCCACATCCAGTGTCTTGAGAAAAAAAAAAAAAATGCTGAGATGTGTGCATTTATGTCCAAAATCCCAAAAGGAAGGAAAGGTAGAAAAGAAGGGACTGTGGTGTGACCATTCACACACACAGATTTTGAATATAATAAAATCTATAAACACATTAGAAAAACATATGGGCTTGATTGTGAGGAATAATTTTCCAAGCATAATACCATAATCCATTCTACATCTCCTTTACTTAAAAAGATCCCCTATTTCAATCACATTTGGGAGACTATTTTTAAAATGTTTTCAATTTTCTAGACTTAGTAGTTCCCTAAGGACTATTGAACAAACTGAGTTTATAAAATCAGCTGTTAAAATGGTCAAAATGCAGTAATTTGCTGTATAGTTACATGTTGCTATATGTTACATTAAACTGAAATTTAATACATTATAACATGGATTCTCTATGTATTCTGTGATCCTAAATTCTTACAAGATATTTGGCAGTTACCAAAATGTCTGTAAGAAGTCTGATGAGGGTGGCAGACAAAGAATACTTAAAGAGTATCTGACAAAACACCCCGAGAGTCCTTGCTTGCAGAGGCTGCTTACCACACTTGACTTACCCTATCACGCATAATAAAATCTAGTCCCTGAAAATGTTATGACTCTGAAATAGTAGCACATTTTCCATGAAAACATCTCTGTTCTTTCAAACCTTTTTGACTCCTTAGGACTTCCTCAATCCCCTCCTATTTATACAACTTCTTTTAGAGGAAGCAACAAATGAAACAATTCAACAATCAACATAAAACACATTTCCTGTCTTTCCCTTTGCAAAAGATGCGGGAGCACCTCCCATGAAATAGTCAACTGAAACAGGAACAAAATCTGAAGTTCTTATATACAATGGAAGGTATTTTCTATTCCTTCAGATTATTAGCATTTAATTTAAGGAATTTTTAAAAACACTATAAACAGCAAAAATTATATAACACCATTCATATGTATTTTATCTTTAAAAGTTTATTAAAGATATTTGTAGACTCTAGATCAATGAAACTTACCCCCAAAATATACAAAAAGTAAATTGCTTAAGGATTAATATTAATTTCAAAACAATGTTATTGTGAACAGAATAGAAATTTTTAAAGAGATTTCACAAAATTGGCCCGGCTACAGTGGTAGCACAATGCTCTGCACTTCTGGAAGCCATATGGAAGTTTTGCTTCCCAGGCTAACTTAAGCATACCGGGCATGCATGTGTGTGCCTAAGATCCTGGCTAGCTGAAGTAGGGAATGTTGTATGAGACTGTCAAGGTGCTTGTCTTTTTCTCTCTCCTTTGCTCTCTCTCATGAAAGAAATAAACTTTAGAGGCCAGCAGTTGGCATGGTGGTTAAGGGCACTGGACTCCCACATGGTAGACCAGTTTGAGTCAAGACCTGCGGCTTGCTTTCTCTCTTTCTCTCTCTCTCTCTCTCTCTCTCTCTCTCTCTCTCTCTCTCTCTCTCTCTCTCTCTCTCTCTCTCTCTCTCTCTCTCTCTCTCTCTCTCTCTCTCTCTCTGGTCAAATTAAAATTAAATAAATAAATGAAGTTAAATAAAATAATTCCTTAAAAAATTCATATACAGCTGATATCTAACAGATAGTGCAACTTTTTGTTTCATTATAATATAATTGTTTTAAGTTACTTTCTAACTTAATTAACCTGTTTCCCCCAATTTTTTCTTATAGAATCAGCATTACAAAAAATAGGACACAATTATACTATAGCTCTTTCTAGCTGCAAAGTATATATATAATAAAAGCAACATGGCTTCGTTGTGGTGGCACATAAGAGTGAAGCTGGAAGCCAAATGAGAGGTCTGAGTTTGGCCAACCTCAATACGCTGGGCATAGTTGCACATATCATAATCCTAGCTAATTGGGAGGCTGGAGCAAGAGGATAGTAGAACAGTGAGATCCTGTCAAGAATACCTATTTTTATCTGTCTCTCTTCCTCTCTCTCTCATAAAGGGAAAAAATAATAATAAAAGAAAAATAAAAGAACATAGGTTATGGGTTAAATCTTAGCTCTGCCAACTACCTGTTCCATAAACTGGGCAAGTTACTTAACCTAATTAAGACTCCATTTACTCTTCTGTATAATGGATGTAATGATGTGTAGTTGTAATGTAAATAACTACAAGCCTAGCAAAGTGAATCATGTGCTTTTGCTGAATGTGTATGTTTTACAATATAAGGAATGTTTACATGTCACCTCATTTTCAGTTATGAAATGATGGCGCTGCATCTGTCAATAACTATTTTACTAGCTTACATTTTATTTAACTAATACCTGTAATTGTGCTTTCCTTAGCTGCTGGCTAGTGATTTGAGCTTTCTGTTGCATCATATTTTCAATGCGTTGGTTGACTTGCTTTTCTTTCTTGAGCTCATTTCCATAAAATTTGGACCCCTATGGAGGAAAACAAAACAAAGCATAAGAAAAATGTTTGACAATATTCTTTTGTAGTATTGTACAAAAGTACAGATTCTCTAATCAGAATGATTGAATTAAAAACTTAGCTCCAGGATCCTTTACTTGACTATCCAAACATTACTCGATCTTTCTGCCTCAGTTTCCTTATCTGTAAAATAAATTCATTGGTAGTTACCTAAATCATGGGATTGCTAGGAGGCAGTACTTAGCATAGTACAGGCTTTCTGAGTTAAGAATGGATTTGCACTTAGAAAAGGCCTTACTTAGTCAGTTGGGTTACTGGTTATCTCCTTCAGTAAAAATTATTCCTCAAAGTATTAACAAAAAGTTCATGTTAAATCATTAAAGGAAGTGTGGAAAATACTTTAAAAAAATACCTATCATTTGATCACTGTACTTAGTATCTATTCATTTATCAGGTTGATAAACATTTAGATTATTTCTATTTTTTTGGCTATTATGAAAAATGCTGATAAGGACCAAAGGAAGATGGGCTGCCTAGAGACACCCAGCACAACTCCTCTCCACTGGGAAAGATAAAAACAGCTGATAAATAGACAAACTTTGCATAGAAGAGTGACAAAGGAGCACTGGAATATAGCAAGGAGGTAACGAGAAGTGTCTGAGGCACAGTGACTAGAGATGGAGACACAGAGAAGAGGAGCATCACGCCAGGAAAAACCTGGTCCAGAGGAAAGCACCCCACTGTGAAGGAAAGGGAAGCAGAATATCCTCAGCAACCTGTCACCTCAGGTCTTGGCTACAGGAGAGTGATATATTAGGTTGTCGGGAAAGTCATGAGTATTTTTCTATGCAAAAATGCATCATGACCTTCCCAATAACCCAATAGTAATCATAGATCTGGAACCCACTGAAGGGAATCTATGCAGGGGTTCTACACCAGAAAAAAATAAAAATAATGCACACACATAGAATCCCCACCCCTTGGGACCAGAGCTCCAATGGCATAGTGCCATTTTAGGAGCAGAGCCACAGCTAAACTGCATCTAGCCCTGGGGTTGGCAGACATTGCATCTCCATATCCCTTAGGCCCCATTGTTGCCCATCACAATTAAGGAAAAGGCTACAAAGTCAGGTCAGTGGTTAGTCCAGTGATGTAGCAGTGAACCTGAGAAACAAGGAACTAGAAAAGCTAGGACAAATTTTACTCAAAAGTAATAGAACGAAAAAAATAATAAAGACCACAGCATAAATAAATGAAAGACACACTCTCCCTAAAAAACTTGCAAAAGATCAATGAATCAAAATGGTTTTAAGGAAAAAATTGATAAACCATTAGTTAGGCTAACTAGAGACAGAGAAAAAGAAGATCCAAATAAATAAAATCAGAAGTGAAAACAAACTAATACTACAGAAGTACAAAAGATCATTGACAACTATTAACAACAACACACCAACAAGCTGAAAAACAGAAGTGATCAATAAATTCCCAGACACATATAATCTACCAAGTTGAATAAGGAAGAAATTAAAATTCTGGACAGACCAATAATGAGTAAAAACACCGTATCAGTAATAATTCTCCCAACAAAGACAAGTCTAAGACCAGATGGCTTCATGGATAATTTCTACAAAATCTTTTAAGAAGACCTAGCATCAGTTTTTCTATATTCCAAAAGATCCAAGTGAGTGGAACCTTCCAAACTTATTCTACAAAGCCAGCATTACCTTGATATCAAAAGCAGATAAGAGGAACCAGCAGTTAGTGTAATGGCTATGTCGCTGGACTCCCACGTAGTCGACTGTGGTTCGCGTCCCAGACCCAGTGGTTTAAAACTCATGCTGGGCGTGTATGTGTACATGCCCAAGATCCTGAGAGGAGAATGGAGGAGAAGGGATTGCGGCATGACCATCCCCCCTGGGGGGTGATTTCTTGCTTTCTGTCTCTAATGTCTCTCTCTGTCTGTCTGGAGAGCGCACGCGCCCTATAGCAAAAATCTCTCCAAAAAAAAAAAGCAGATAAGGACACAACACAACAGCAACAGAAAGAGAGAGAAGAAGAAGGAAAGAAGGAAGGAAGGGAGAGAAGAAAGGGAAAAAAAGAGAAAAGAGAAGAGAAGAGGAGAGGAGAGGAGAGGAGAAGAGAAAAGAAAAGGAGGGGAGGGGAGGGAAGGGAAGGGAAGGGAAGAGAAGAGAGAAAAGAAAAGAAAACTTTGGACCAATATTCTTTTTTTTTTCCAATTTCACTCACTTTTATTGGAATGGGAATATATACATTATTTTCCAATAAATGCTCACTGCTTTAAATTTACAACTACCCTATTTGCAGAAACTTTAAAATCATTTTGATTAAATGAAAAAAATACAAAAAATCCTTTGTCCTTATAATTCAAAGTATATTTAAAATAATATTTTCATAGCAACCAAAATCTTTAACCAAAATTTCAGAACTTTAGTTTTTTCTGTATAAACAAATGGCCACATTTAATTATCTTTAAAAAAGTATATATGGTGGGTCTTTTTAAATAAGGCAGATTCACAACTGACATAGTTTTCGTTTCTGAGCACTCAAAGCTTTGGCCTTGACTTATTATATTTACTGTATCTTTTTAACCTAGACAATTACTCCAATTTGAAAAAAAGTTTAAATAGATTTTTGACATTTAATATTGGTAATGCTTACTAAGATTTAATAATTCCCAACAATGAGAATCAGAACATGACCCCCAACTAAAATAAAATTATACAGGACTTACTACATGGTAGAATCTGGTATTCAACATCAACATTGTTAAAATAGTGTTTCTGAATTACAATGTATTTTTTTCACATAGCACCTCATCAAATATTTGGTAAACATTCTGCAATCCTGTGATTCACTTAAGGCGGCATTGAAAGATCAGTCTTAGGCATCATCAAGACGAGGAATGCTGTCTACTGGTTCCCATGCTCTAAGGGAGTTTGTATCTACATGGGCACCATCATGAGACAGTGCTGTTTTTCCAGAATCAACAAAAAATAGCTACACACTGAAAAAAAGTCCTGCTTTACAAATGGTCTGTTAACTGCACTTGTAAAACTAAAAAAAAATTCTAAATGTCAGAAGAGATAAGGTTATTCTATTTCCTTATTCCAGGTAATTCTGTTTAAAAGATACTAAATTAAGTCCAATTGTATCTTGTAAAGTTTTAGTGTAAAAATGAATGTATTAAAACCCAGGAAAGGGAACAGCAGTTGGTGTAATGGCTATGTTGCTAGACTCCATGTAGTGGACCGCGGTTAGAGTCCCGGATCTGGTAGCTTAATATCACGCTGGGCGCGTGTGCGTGCGTGCCCAAGATCCTGAGAGGAAAGTGGAGGAAAAGGGATTATGGCATGACCATCTCCCTGGGGGGGCGATCTCTTGCTTTCTGTCTCTCTGTCCCTCTCTGTCTTTCTGACCAGCACACACACCCTTTAGCAAAAACCTCCCAAAAAAAAAAAACAGGAAAGTTTAATTTTCACCTAACTGTAACAAAATAGCTCATTCTGGTGAGTTTTCACAAGTTGTACTCTTGACCCGAAGAGTCACTTTTTTTTATGCTATAGGGCTCATTGGTTACTGGAGAGAGCCATCTCTCAGGGTAGATGGCTGTGTCACAATCCCTTTTCCACTTTCTTCTCAAGATCTTGAGCACACACACACATGCCTTGTATAAAAGGGGATGGGTATGCAGTACCGGATGAGTCAGTTCCTCCATGAGAAGTACTTGGTGTTGATGCCAGATAGGGGACTTTCTTCAAAGGAATCCTCCCCCTTCAAATCCTCTTTTCTTCTTGAACTCTATTTTCATCTTCTGATGACCTGTTCTTGGAGTCCGAAAAGCCTTCACTATTTTATGCACTTCTAATCCGCTGTCCGATTCTTTCAGACATTTTATTTCTGTTCCAGGAAACCTTCTCTCAGATACATTACTTTCCTCTGTTGCCACCTTCATATCAGCTTATATTGGACCCAAGTTACCATTTTCAGGAACAGCTCTTTCTACATCTCTTGTCAAATTCATAGTCTGGAAGTCCCTATAACTGTGGAAGTTTTTAGTCCTTCTTATTCTTGCTAACAAAGGACTCTCTCTGTAAGGTAGACCTCACAGAACCATAAGTAGCTGCATAAATAGCTGCTTCATGGATGGTTTCATGGTACTGAAGCTGAAGACTAGAATTTTATTCTTGAAGGTGATTATGCTGAACCACAGATGTTAGGAGTAGCACAGCGAGATGTGCTCAGATCACACTGATTCAGTAATTAGAGTAGCTCTTCTTCAGTTGGACCACCTATATCCTTCCTTATCTTTACTTTTGTTCACCATCAGATCAATATTCTTCATGAACATAGATTAAAAAATTATCAGGCCAGCCAGGTGGCATGATGGTGAAGGTAGCTGAATCCCACATGGCCAACTTCATGGTTCAAGTTCCAGAACTAGCAACTTTAAAGATATACAAGGCATGTGTGTGTGTGTGCTCAAGATCTTGAGAAGAAAATGGAAAAGGGATTGTGACACAGCCATCTCCCCTGGGAGATGGCTCTCTCCAGTAACCAATGAGCCCTACAGCATACAAACAAACAAAAATCCTCAACAACATATTAGAAAACTAAATTCAACAGTACATCAAAAAGATTTCATGCCATGAACAAGTAAGATTTACGTTGGAAATGCGACGGTGGTTCAACATATGGAAATCAATTAATGTGATACATCGCATCAGCAAAAGGAAGTAAAAACCATATGATAATATCAATTTATACAGAAAAGTTATTTGGTAAAATACAACATCCATTAATGATTTAAAAAATTCAATAAAATAGGTATAGAAGGCACACATATCTCAACATGTTAAATGCCATATATGACAAACCTATAGCTAATATCATCCTAAATGAGAAAAAATGGAAAGCTTTTTTTCTAAAACCTGGAACAGACAAGATGTCTACTTTCTCCACTCCTATTCAACATAGTACTGGAAGTCCTAGGTAGGGCAATTAGGCAAGAGAAAAAAATTAAGGACACTGGAAAGGAAGAAGTTAAATTGGTCCTCTTTGTAGATGACATACACAGAATAACCTAAAGAATCCACCCAAAACCTCTTAGAAATGAGTAAGTTTAGTCAAGTTGCAGGATACAAAATAAACAGAAAAATGTAATAAGCAACTGGCTTAAAAAGAAATCAAGAAAGCAATCCCATGTATAATGGCCATAATAAAACAAAATAAAATGAAAATAAAAATAAAATACCTAATAATGAATTTGACAGAGGAGGTGAAATATCTCTACAATAAAAATGATAAAACAAATTGATAAAATAAATTAAAGAAGTAATACACAAAAATATATACCATGTTCATGGATGAAAAGACTCAATATTGTTAAAATGTCTACATTACCCAAAGTGATCCACAGATTCAGTACAAACCCTACCATAATACCAAAGACATAGAGAAATAGAAAAAAAAAAATAAAATCAGAAAATTTGTGTAGATTCCTATAGGACCCTAAATAGCCAAAGGTAAATGCCATGCACATTGCCATACACATTGAAAGAAATAAGAAACATACCTTTGTGGCTTCCATTATAATTTTGTTAATTTTCTCTTTATCCAATCCTTCCATTTCCTGCTTTATTGTCATTAAGTCCTATCCTGAGCAGAAGATCATCTTTGTAATTGTCATTCTTCTCATTTGTGTTATCCATGATGTAAACTTAAAGTTAAAATTGTTTTTAAAAAGTCATCTGAAAAAGCACACAAAATAAACACTGTTTTTAAAACTGTCCATGGGCATAGGGAGAGTGGAACAGAAAAGTTAAAACTATATACAAATCAGAAAAACTTTTTTTTTTTTTTTTAGGTTTTTGCCATAGGCAGGATGTGCTTGCTGGAGCAAGACAGAAAGACCAAGAGAGAGAGACAGAGAGGAAGTGGGAAAATCATTGTCCAGGAGTGATGGCCACATCACAGTCCCTTTTCCTCCATTCTCTTCTAGGGATTTTGGACATATGCACACATGAGCCTGGCATGATTTTCAAGCTGCCATGTCCTGGGCTAGAACCACACTCGACCATGTGGGAATTCAGTGCCTTAACCAAACTGCCACCTGCTAGCCCCAGCAAAAGAAATTTTTTAAATGACAGCTAAGAATTTTTAGCTCAGGGGGCAGGCCAATGGCTGGGCTCAACTCCCACATGGCCAACTGCAGTTCGAGTCCCAAACCTGACAACTTGCTCTCTCTCTCTCGTCAAAATTGAAAAATAATAATAATAAATAAATAATTCTCTAAAAAAAAAAAAAAAAAAAGAACTTTTTTTGTTTGAGAGGCTTTCGCTATAGGGCAAATGCACTTGTCAGACAGACAGAGAGAGACATAGAAACAGAAAGCAAGAAATCACCCCCCAGGGGGGATGGTCATGCCACAATCCCTTCTCCTCCATTCTCCTCTTGGGATCTTGGGGACTCACACACACGTGCCCGGCGTGAGACTCACACACACGCGCCCGGCGTGAGATTTAAGCCACCGGGTCCAGGACTTGAACCGCAGTCGACTACATGGGAGTCCAGCAACATAGCCATTACGCCAACTGCTGGTTCCCCCCCAAAAAAGAATTTTTAACTCAGAAAGCCTCAGGGAAAAAAAGCGTTGAGGTAAGTGAGGAAAATAGGCTATGAAATAGTATACCATAACAGAATTTTAAAAGGGTACTCTCAATTTTAAATGTATATTCTCCTCCCAAAAAAACTAGTCAAATGAGAATCAAAGGTACACAACATAATGTTCTTTGTTGAAGATGATTATGGTAATATTCTTGATTTGATTATAACACACTGCATGCATGCTTTGTTGTACCACACAAAGATGTACAATAAATATAAATGAAGTTATAAAATAAATCATAAACTTAAAAAAATTTAGCTACTGAAAAATTGTTGCTCAGCTATTTTAACATGATTATTTCAGTATTACTATACTCATGGGGAAGAAAAGAATTAACATTTACGGCAAGCTCTGTGCCAATTATTGTTCTTGAGGCCTCATATATGAACCTCATACTAGCCCAGAAAAGTAGATATTATTATTCCCAATATAAAATGATAAGAAATCTGAGTCATATAACATGTCAAATAACACAATTTGCTAACAAATGATGACATCTGTGTTGAAACCCATGGCACAGCCCAAATCCATGTTTTGACCCAGATTAATACACTGTAGAGAAAATTAATACAAAATAAGCTATACTACACATGTTAAATTCAACAGTATTTATTATCTACTGTATGCAGAGCCCCATTCCTAAGACAATTAAAAAAAAAAGGAAAAAAATCTATTCACTTAAAAAATTATTACCTTGTACAATGTTATATCATTTCTAAGATTGGGAGTCCTTTCACATAATAATTCTTTAATATCTTTTTACCTTCAGAGAGATTTTTGCTGCAGGGCGTGTGAGCTCGCCAGAAAGACAGAGACAGAAAGTGAGAAATCACCCCACAGGGGGGATGGCCACACTGCAATTCCTTCTCCTCCATTCTCCTCTTGGAATTTTGGATGCACATACACACACACCTGGCATGAGTTTTAAGCTGTTGAGTCCAGGACTCAAATCGCAGTCGACCACATGGTAGTTCCATGACATAATCAGTATGCCATCTGCTGGTCCCACATGCATCATCTTTTTTTTTTTTTTTTTTGGAGAGGTTTTCACTATAGGGCGTATGCGCTTACCAGACAGACAGAGAGAGACATAAAGACAGAAAGCGAGAAATCACCCCCCAGGGGGGATGGTCATGCCGCAATCCCTTCTCCTCCATTGTCCTCTCGGGATCTTGGGCACGCACGCACACATGCCCGGCGTGAGTTTTAAGCCACTGGGTCCGGGACCCAAACCACGGATGACTAGTGAGAGTCCAGCGACATAGCCATTACGCTAACTGCTGGTTCCCACATGCATCATCTTTTAAAAAACATAACAGCGACTGGTGGACTAACAGTCAGGTAATGGCTATGTCGCTGGACTCGCATGTAGTCAACTGCGGTTCAAGTCCCAGACCCAGTGGCTTAAACTCATGTTGCGCATGTATGCGTGCGTGCCCACCCAAGATCCCAAGTGGAGAATGGAGGAGAAGGGATTCCAGGGTGGCCATCCCCCCTGGGGGATGATTTCTCGCTTTCTGTCTCCGTCTTTCTGGCGAGCGCAGGCGCCCTATGGCAAAAACCCTCTTCCAAAAAAAAAGTAAATAAATTAAGAAAAAAAAAAAAAACTAACAGCGACCATGTAAACAGATTTGGTAATTCTCATGTTTGGAAAAAAAAAATGGAATTTCAGCAAGAATAAATGAATTGTTCATCCTAACTCTGTAATAAGCAGAAGACTTGAGATTTGGAACACAAGTCTTCTTACTCCAACAGTAATGTAGTTACCATGACATCAGTCGCTTCCAACTTGGGTTTCACTTATGTTATAAATGAATGGCCAGATGAACTGCTATGGCTTTATAACAAATTATGTGATAGTGACTTATTTGAATGACTGAGAGCTTATTTACTCTACTATCCCTTGAGAATCTTTCCTTACCTTAATAATATTTTTTTCCATTTTTGGCACCAGCAAAATACAGAGAGAATTTTGGAAGATACTTTGAATATCATGACACTTCGTGACAGTTTCATTAGAGGGGAAAAAAAGTGTACATTCTAATAGTTCTCAAATGTTGTGTGCTAGATCCATTTGGAGTGCTCTTTTTAAAGTGAGATTTTTTGCTATAGGGCACATGTGCTCACAAGAGAGAGGGACAGAGAGATGGAAAGCAAGAAATCACCCCCCTGGGGGAATGGTCACACCACAATCCCTTTTCCATTCTCCTCTCGCGATCTTGGACACACACACACACACACACACACACACGCACACACACACACACACATGAACCCAGAGGGAGTTTTAAGTCGCCATTCTGGGACTTGAATCACAGTCGACTATGTGGAAGTCCAGTGATAGAACCATTAGGCCAAATCTGCTGGTCCCCTGGAGTGCTTTTAAAAACTTTGATGCCCAAGTCTCATCCTATACCAAATAAATCAGAATATCTGGGCAGTAGAAGTCACAGAGGATATTTGTGTTTGTTTTATATTTTCTCCACTGGTGACTAGGTTATTTACTGAGACAAGGAATACAAATGGGCATATAAAGGATTAAAAATAGAATGCTGAATTTTATTTATATGTGGGTCATCAGATACTGTACGCAGGGAAATACACACTGCTTGAAATGAGGAACTTCACTAGGCAAGCACATGGTGTAAGACTTTTGCCTCTGGTCCTGGGGACGGGGAAGAGCAAGAAATTGAAATGGGAAGCCTCAGGTTTTAGGAATGCCACTATTAGCGAGCCATTCTCTTCAAGGAAACAAACAGCGTACATTTTCAATTTCTTTCTCCTTCCTTTTGCTGGAAGTACTTAATGCATTTCCTGCATGCTCTGTGCGAGCTACTGTGCTTGGGGCCTATAAGTAAGTAAGTGTAATTATCCAATAAGTCATTGAAGAGATTTAATTTTTTTAAATGAGAAGGAGAAAGGGAAGTATTTTTGACAAGGTCTTGCCATGTTGCGATTCTCTTACTCTAGCATGCCAGTAGATCTCGGAACCAAACCCAGGCCTCACCCTGCAGCCGCAGTGTAAGGTAGAGCTGCACAGCTTGAACCACCTACTGCTTGTGCTGCCACGGAGGGGCCCAGATAGCAGTATTTTAAAGACATGCCTAGGGATTCAACATGCCCTAAAGTATAGGAACCACTGGTAGATTGTCTCTCAGTGCCCGAAGAATATAAGCTGGTTTTACGTTTCTGATATTTCAATTTTCTTCATGACAACCATCAAAATAAGCTTAATATTACCCTATATTTCGTTTTGTGCTTCAGTAATCTAATTATTTGTGATTTTTCAAGTAAAGCAGGTACAGTTAATAAGCACATTATACCACTACCATGAAGGAGTGAAGAGGCTAAATGCAGACATTCTATTATACATTTAAGCTGCCTTGCCCTTTAAATGATGAAAGAGATGAAAGGAAAGAAAAATGTATTGAATGACTACTATTTCACATATAGTATACTAACTAGTTAACCAAGAAACTAAAAATAAGTATTTTGGTTCTTAATTGTGCCAGAAGAACTGAGCTATCAGCAATACTGGGAAATTGTGAGAAAGGTAAAGTTAATAGTACTCAGCTACATCCTTCCTGGTTATTCCTAGTTTCCATGCAATTTATGTCAAATTTCATATATATGTTTAATATTACCTATATGCCAATGTTTCCAGGTTTATAACATCAGTCAAAATGCCTGTATGCCACTTTAAATTTAACACATCCGAAATGGATGTTCTCATCTCCACTACCCACCAAATCAGCTCCATTTACAGTCTTCCTCATCTCAGCTGAGGTAAGGAATCCCTTCTAATTGCTTATACAAATAACCTTGGAGTTATTCTTGACCTCCCTTTCACATACCGGCATCTAAACTGTCAGGAAATCCTGTGGGCTCTACTTTCAACATACATCCTGAATTTAACCACTTCTCACTATCTTCACTGCTTTCACTCTAGCCTAAAACACCATTATGTCTCGCCTGGATTATTACAATACCTCTTAAATAGTCTCTCAGCTTCTACTTCCTGCCTAAGGTCAATTATCAACAAAGTAGCCCAACTGACTCTTTTAAATCACAAGTTAAA